CACTGTACAGTAGAAAACCAGAAAATCCTAAAAAAGGGCAACACCATTAATCATAACCGAGGGCATATTATGGTTATTAGCTAGAGGCGCGCAGGAGAGACTCATCTCCAGGAAATGCTTCTGGTAGCAATATGTGTAGGTTTACAGCACGATCTGGCGCTAAACAGGCCTTGTTGGAGGCTAGGAACACGCTAGAAAATGAGAAGAGGAGAAAAGCACGGAGATGGGGAAGTTATTTTGGGGGAAGGCAACCCCCCAGCTGTTTGCTGTGGTGTTCTGGGAATTGTAGTCCAAATCGCTTTGAGAAGGTTTCATGAACCGAAGGCGATTAGGAAATTACCTTCCAATAAGTAAATGACCAATAAGTAGGTAAATAAAATTTCCCATTTCTGCGGCTGAAAGAAACATGGTGCAAAATTCCAGTTAAAAAAAATGCAAAATGGCCTGATTTCCCCGCAAAGGTGTTTTAAAGATCGGATATATACCATTTAAAGCGTACTGGTTATATATCGCTCCACAACACTTAAAAGCACTCTCTGGGCCTTTTACATGTTAATTATGCAGGCTAAACATTTCCCTACCCCCAAGCGAGCTGGGAACTCATTTTACTGACCTCAGAAGGCTGGGAGGCTCAGTGAACCTTCAACCGGCTACACGGGACTGAAATCCGGGGCCTGAGCACACAATTTTGCCTGCACTATAGCAGCTTAAACACCACGCCATCGTTTCGAAGAGTGCATCTTATTTTTATATTAAGAAGGCTTTAAAGGTAAAGGTTCTCCTTGACATTTAGTCCAGACTCTAGGGCGCGGTGCTCATCCCCGTCTCCAAGCCGTAGAGCCAGCGTTTCTCCGTAGGCAGTTTCCGTGGCCAGCGTGACTAGATACGGAGCGCCATTACCTTCCCACCGAGATGGTATTTATTTATCTACTCGCATTTTTACATGCTTTTGAACGGCTAGGTTGGCAGGAGAAGGCGGCTTTACTCCCGCCGAAAACACTTCTGCGGAAACCTCCTATCTCTTGTGCCTGCATCTTGCAAGCACAGCCACACACACACCCCCATTGGTTGACCTGAGCTTCCGAAAGTCTCGCGCGACGCCGAAGGAGCCCCGAGTGGGAGGTGGAGCGTGTCGAGCCCTGATGACATCACTGGAATGCGCCGTTTTGCCGCGGCACGGTCTACGAGCCCCGGCTGGTGGCGCGAGCTTCGGAGTAAGGGGGAGGAGGGGGCGTGTGCGTGTGGTCGTCGTTGCGGATCCCTCCACAGTGAGTGAGTAAGCGCGCGCAGGCCTTCGTCGGAGGGAGGGAGGAGCGGGCGGGCAGGGGGGAGCCTCGCGCCCCGGCTGAGGGGAAACTGCGAAGAGTCGTGCCGTTTACTAGGGCGGGTGAAGAGCTGGGAGGCAGCCGTGCTCGTCTGCAGGCGTTTCGGTGAAGTGTGAATACCACCTGTCCTGGCGCTCTTCCTTGGAACTACGGAAGTGAGGCTCGAGTCAGTTACTGTTTTCAGGCAGATGCTTACCTCGTCAGGATCCGGGTACAGGGACGGGGAAGATATTCGTAGTCTTTATGAGGTGGCCTTGGCCCGTTCAGGGGCCCCATATGTGGTGGGAGCGTCTTTAAGCGACGGGGTCTCCTTGCCCTGTTTCTTGGATCCATTCTGTCTGTCACGCCCATCGACGAAGCCTAGCCTTTTTAATTCCGAAATAATAGGAGAGTGGATTTCATTTAAACCAAATTGATTGATGGTTTTTTTAAAAAAATCGTTTTTATTATTTAAATTAAAAAGTCAATTGTTTAGTTTAATTCGTGATTAAAATCAATTTGATTTAAAAGATCATTGATTTTTATCCACCCTGGTAATAAAATGTTATACTGAGCTATTAACGTGTAGGCGAAATGTGCATCATCTTTCTCCCAAAGACTGAGTGAAGGAATGGCTGACTCTTTACATTTGCTGCATCCTGACATTCTTTTTAGGTACTTGTGTTTGGCATTTTCACAGTCTCAACCCCTCACTTTAAATCAGCAATGTGCTACTTACCAAACACTCCTCCAAAACATTACTTATATACTTGTGATCTCCATTCTTATTCATGTTTTCCAGGAAATTTCCCCATGTATCATTGTATATGAAGCCTTTTTACAATCTTCCCCCCATCTGAGACTAGTAGTACATGGCCTGCACCATGCACTATAAAGTGCAGAGGGGAATTAAACTCCTTAATGTTTTATTCTTTCCTGTATTTAAACTGTATGCATATTCTGGATACTTCTTGGCTCTAAATTTGGACCATGGCCGGGTTTGAAAGATTATGATGTTTTAATAATATTGATATTTTAAATGTTTAAGTATGATGTAAAATGCAAACCGCCCTTTTGTTTTCTGAATTATGCATTGAAAAGAGATTGTCTGTTAATACCATTACTAATTTGGCTGACATTTATGCCATTTAGACACACATACGCACACCACTCCTTAGGAACCATACATAAGTTTTAATAATACCAAAGTAGTTTAAAAACTAGCCAAAAAGCAATGTATTCATACCTAATCTATTTTTAGATACAGTATTATATATAAATGTACAATGTTCTGGACACAGCTATAATCAGCTCTATTACAAAGAAATGATATAAAGAGTTTCTCTTTTTCTGTCTTCTTTTGCTATTGTTCCTCCTATAAGGTATTTTATGCTTGTTGAAGCATGGGTCTGTGTGTTATCAAGCTTCTTAAGTCCCATGTGCACTGATGGTGCGATATAATTAAGTAATGATAGCATATTGATTGTGCTATATATAATTTTACATATTTGAGGGTGGTTTATGGAAGATTAGATCAATCTGTGCCTGTGGACAAGTCTTCTTCCAGTCTCAGAAGGAATTCCAGCTTAGTGGTGGCTTCTACAGTAAGGGAGGAAAGAAGGTAAAGGTTCCCCTTGATAATTTTTGTCCAGTCATGTTCGGCTCTACGGGGCAGTGCTCATCCTTGTTTCCAAGCCATAGAGCCAGCTTTTGTCCGAAGACAATCTTCCATGGTCACATGGCCAGTGCGACTTAGACACGGAATGCTGTTACCTTCCCACCGAGGTGGCCTCTATTTATGTACAGTGGTGCCTCACATAACGATGTTAATTGGTTCCAAACAAAACATCGTTATGTGAAAACATCGTTATGTGAAGCACCATTTCCCATAGGAATGCATTGGAAACCGGTTAATCCGTTCCAATAGGAATGGATTATCCGGTTTTCTCCCTCCCCCCGTGGCTTGGTTGGGAGAAGTGACGGCCACTCACTCCGTCACGTGGATTGGATCTTACAGCTAAAGATCTACAGACCTTACAGTACAGAGGCTTCTGCAGTTTAACCCTGTCACGTTCCCGGGGGTTACAATATTCGAAGTCCGATAAACCAGTCCAGGGTCAGAGATATCAAGAATGCAAAGCCAAAGTCCAGAAACCAACTTACAGAATGAAGTCCAATGTCAAAGTCAAGGGTCTGATACACAGTGTAGTTCAGGGTCAAATTTCGGGGTTCAGAGACAGGAACACGATGCAAGCAACGTGGATGCAAGCCAAGGTTTTGACTCCTTGCTTCCATGAAGTTTCTGGCTTCACTGGAAGCTTGTTTTATAATGAAACAGCTCCTTGAGCTGCTGGAAAGCTTTCTATTCTGCTAATTCTCAGGACTAGATGAACGTAGGTGTCTGTGGAAAGCCTTTGAATGATCCTCTGATCTTCTTGTCCTAAGTGTTTCCCGAAGACTGCCCCGAAGCCTGTCTGCTGTGGAGGGAGAATCTGGAGGCGGTTCAGATGTTTCTGATCTCTCCACATTCTCTTCAGCCATAGTTAACCCTTCTGGGTCCAGGTCTTCGGAAACACTCATGACAAACCCGCAGCACCACCATGTCCCTAGTTTCCTTCCTAGAGAGAAAAGTAGTTTTTAGTTATTCTATATACAGTGGTGCCTTGCTTAACGGGTGCCCCGTTTAACGACTAATCCGCATACCGATGAAGATTTTGCGATCGCAAAAGCGATTGCATAACGATGTCCGACGCCCCCGCGGATCAGCTGGGCGAAAATGCTGGCTTTGGGAAGATGGGGGGGAAGCCGGCATTTTCACCCAGCTCGGGAGGATGGGGGGGGGAACCCGGCATTTTCTAACACCTCAGTGCCGAAGCCGGCATTTTCTAACACCTCAAATAGCTACTCAGACCACTTTGCCCACTTTTTTGTTGTTGTTCTTTAGTTGTTAAGTTGTGCCTGACTCTTTGTGATGCCATGGGCCAGAGCACGCCAGGCCCTCCTGTCTTCCACTGCCTCTTGGAGTTTGGTCAAATTCATGTTAGGTAGCTTCGATGACACTGTACAACCAAGAAAGTAAAATCTGTCACTGCCTCCATATCTTCCTCTTCTATTTGCCAGGAGGTGATGGAGCCAGTGGCCATGATCTTAGTTTTTTTGATGTTGAGCTTCAGACCATTTTTTTGCCCTCTCCTCTTTCACCTTCATTAAGAGGTCCTTTAATTTCTCCTCACTTTCTGACATCAGAATGGTATCATCTGCATACCTGAGGTTGTTGATATTTCTTCCGGCAATCTTAATTCCGGCTTGGGATTCATTCAGTCCTGCGTTTCGCATGTTGTATTCTGCATATAAGTTAAATAAGCAGGGAGACAATATACAGCCTTGTCGTACTCCTTTCCCAATTTTGAACCAAACAGTTGTTCCATATCCAGTTCTAACTGTTACTTCCTGTCCCAAATATAGATTTCTCAGGAGAAAGATAAGGTGGTCAGGCACTCCCATTTCTTTAAGAACTTGCCATAGTCACCTCTTGTGTTTTTGGAAAAGAGTGTTTGTGATGACCAGCTTGTTCTCTTGACAAAACTCTATTAGCCTTTGCCTTGCTTTGTTTTGAACTCCAAGACCAAACTTTCCTGTTATGCCTTTTATCTCTTGACTCTCTACTTTAGCATTCCAATCCCCTAGAATGAGAAGAACATCTTTCTTTGGTGTCAGTTCTAGAAGGTGTTGTAAGTCTTCATAGAATTGGTCAATTTCAGCCTCTTCAGCATCGGTGGTAGGTGCATAAACTTGTATTACTCTGATGTTGAAAGGTCTGCCTTGGATTCGTATTGAAATGATATCATTTTACAGTACAGTATTTCCCTCTCTTTTGTTAACTATGAGGGCTACTGCATTTCTTCTACGGGATTCTTGACCACAATAGTAGATACGAAAATTGTCTGAATTGAATTTGCCCATTCCCGTCCATTTTAGTTCACTGACGCCCAGGATGTCAATGTTTATTCTTGCCATCTCCTGTTTGACCACATCCAGCTTACTAAGGTTCATAGATCTTACATTTCAAGTTCCTATTCAGTAGTTTTCTTTGCAGCATCGGAATTTCCTTTCACTTCCAGGAGCGTCTGCAGCTGAGCGTCATTTCGGCTTTGGCCCAACCAGTTTATTAGCTCTCGAGCTACTTGTCCTTGTCCTCCGCTCTTCCTCAGTAGCATGTTGGATGCCTTCTGACCTGAGGGGCTCATCTTCCAGTGTCATATCTTTTAGTCTTTTGTTTCTGCCCATAGACAGCCTCGCTATACGAGGCAGTAGTTTCCCCCAGAAACCCCCTCGCTATGCGAATTCATCGTTAAACGAGGCATTCGCTAAGCGAGGCACCACTGTACTTGTATTTGCATGCTTTCCAACCACTAGGTGGCCCCCTCGCCACGATAAGGCAGCAATGCATGAAGGGGACTTTGCCCACTAGCAAGTAGCAAAAACAAGCTGACATTTTTCTATCCATTTTCTAGTTCTACTTGAATCCCCCCCATTTTTGTTAAGATAGAAGAAAGGGTACATTAAAAAATTTTCACACAATGGTGCATAACATCTTCAGCCTTGATGATTGCAGGTGGTGTTTGATGGATGTTTATGTGTAATTTCTGATGTAACTTCCTATCAGTGCAGAAAAAAGAAGTGTGAAGTGCTTTCTTCTGGTGCTGGTGGGTCGCAAGTGTTATCTGAGAGGAGCTTGATGTGTGTAGCATTCTATTCCTGACTAAAGAATAAAATCTCTCATCATAAGATGAAATAAAACGAAGAATTCCTTTGTCTTATCCCCTTAGTCTACAGGGAATGGAATTTAGAAAGGGGATGGTAGAACAGAAGTCTCCATAGACTGGATTCTGACCTTACACTAGTCCAGATTAGGCCTATGGGTTGGAGATGTTCCTCCTTTCTGTTTATATGGTGACCATTCTGGAATGAAAGACATTAAGGAACTCTTGCAAATAAAACCTGATTGTTGATGATTCTTGAAGACTTCTTATATGACCTTACATTCATGAATAAACCTTCAGTTCAAATGTTGTCTCTATCACCCACATTCTGTATGGTTGGTCTTTTTCAAAGGTTAGAATGTATGATAAATTAATTACAGTGTTGAATGTAGTAGGAAAATTTTTCTTGTTCTTGTGAGTGGTCACATAAAAAGTATTGGATACTTAGGGTTTTGACCATTTTCAATATCTTGTTTTCGGTAAATAGTAAATTTGACAGAGATTAGGTGGTAAGAATCTCTAGGATTGCAAAATATACCAATATGTTTCCATTACATATTTTTACAGATTTTCATGGATCTCAATAGTGCTAGTAGCATTGTTCTTCAAGTCTTGACCCAAGCCACCAGTCAAAATACTGCTGTGCTAAAACCAGCTGAGGAACAACTGAAGCAGTGGGAAACACAACCAGGTTTCTATTCAGTATTATTGGTAAGTTGGCACAGTGAACTACTAGTTCTCAAGTGTTTTCTTTAGTCATCATGGCTCACTTATATAATCCTATAATTTCCTTGTAAAATGACAGAAACTATTTCAGTTGCACAGCTGTTTGCTTCATATTGTAAAGCAAATGTGCTCTTCCAAATGTTTTTGGACAGCAAAAAGAAGATGCAGTTGTATTTGAGAATGTGGCCTCCCATTCTTCCTTTTCCTTATCAATCACAGTGGTGGTTAAAACTACTGTGAGTTGCAGTTCAACAAAATCTGCAGGGCCACAGCTGCCCATTTCTATTATCAGGTTAAAAAGAATTATTTTGTTTGTTTTTGCTGGTAATGAAAGTACATTTGTTATTTTGGAATAAGTGATAAAATGTCCTAGGAGTTTGAAATGTTCTGAAAAATAGATATATTAATGTTCAGAATATGAATAGCTTGTTAATGATACGCCTTACTTGGGAAATGTTGGTGACTACTAGTGGTGTTTGTCTGTTTATCGGTCTTGTAATTGGTTAATCTGGTCTTGCCCTATCAATATGTTTTTTCACCTTAGTGAATATGTATTGTAGTTTAAGAAATGCCTTCTGTACATCCAGGAGTACTGAGTCTCATGGATCTGAGAAGATGCAGTTGTATTTGAGAATGTGGCTGTAGAGAATAGATTTTGTGGAAGCTTGAGATGTGTTGCTTTTTGTAATGTTCACTGAGTTTTCAATGTAGTGTGATGCTTATGTGCCTTAAGCAGCATGCTTTATTGTGTAGATAGTCGTAATCATGTACAGAAAGTACTGTATACCTGTTTTGTAAATTGGTCTAAATGCAGATTGATGGTAGAGTGAAAGTTACTTAAAGTTATTCCTTTCCATGAGTTCAAATGATAAAAGATACCATTGATGTATTTTAGACCAAAGAGAGGTGTTTGAGTACAACAACAGAGGAAACATTCATCCATGAATATCTTTGTGTACCGTGGTGCCAACCAGCATAGCATGGCTGTAAGCTGTGCTGTTGTTCTGAAGACACATATTATTCCCCAAAGCGAAATAGTTATTTTTGAGTGAGTAACAGAGTCTAGTGGTAGATGTGCTGTACTCTCATTCGGAATGGTTTTCCTCATGGCTTGTGATCTGTCCATTTGAGGGATTTTAGTGTGATGAACCACTGCATTAATAGTAGCTAGGATGGTGTAATCTGGGTAGCTATTACAGTGAATAAATTGTAAGTTCCTCAGAAAGTCATTTCTTACATACCTAGAAGCATTGATGGCATGAACTTTGAAGGCAAAGTTCATGTATCCAGATATCCCAACACTGATGGTGTCAGTATATATAATGGGCTTCCCAGGATTACCTGGTTTGTGTTTTGGTTTGGGTTTTGGCATGAATGGGTAGGAGCTTAACTGAACCTTTTTTGACGTGTATGTTTGGATTTTGCTATACACATTTCTAAGCAATTATTTTGTCAGGCTTTGATTCTTGTGGCATTCAGCAGATAGCTCTGTAAATGGGAGCACGTAAAAAGTATTGTTAAGTAGTTGTATTGGCAGACATTAGCACTGTTAATATATTGGCATTCCCACAGTAGTTGTGTTTCTGATTGGGTATTTATTCTTCAATGATTCATATTGTATAGTAGGCTTAGAAGGGCAAATGTCTTCCCATTTTGATGGCTCACATTTCATTTCTGTAACAACCATGTATGGAGGAACTACTTGATTACATGCTCTTTCAAAATGTAACAACCCATCCAAAGAAAAAATATTTTCTAAATGAACAAATAAATGAAACTTTTGCAAGCTTTTAACATTTGTTTATTGGGTTCATATCCTTTCAGAGGAAAACTGCACAAGTAAGGTATTAATTACAGCAGTTAGTTAATTAATTAATTAATTAACTAACTAATCAGTTAGATTTATATACTGCCCATCTAGAACCTAACTAATCAATTAGATTTATATACTGCCCATCTAGAACGTGTCTACTCTGGGCAGTTTACATATAACATAAAAATAAACTAAGGTAAAATCCATATTGATCACAGAGGTAATTTGTTTTATCAGTGGATAAGGGAGAGCATGGTGGATGGCTTGTGAACAAGGTACATTTTCCTTATGTGATCATGGAGACCAATAGTGTTCTGCCCCAGAATCATCACGATTATGATTATTAAGTCTTTGCTGAATCATCAGGATAAAACTGTATTCTTTAATTGTAGGTGTCTATTGATATGCTGAATTTATTTATTATAGATTTTTAGGTTGTCTTCAATAAATTAAAGTGTGTATAGCCTGGAAAGAGCTATGGCCTCAGTCATGGAGATGTAGTGCTAAATCAGCATTCTGCAATTTAATGCCCGCCAGATGTTATAGAATTCAGTTCCTATAATCTCCATTCATTGGCCATATTAGATACCGTATTTTTCGCTCCATAAGACGCACCTTTCCATAAGACGCAATGGAAAGAGCTATGGTCTCAGTCACAGTGTCCTTACGGAGATGTAGTGCTAAATCATCATTCTGCAATTTAATGCCCGCCAGATGTTATAGAATTCAGTTCCTATGATCTCCATTCATTGGCCATATTAGATAGTTCTGATAGGAAATGAAGTCAAAAGCATCTGGTCAGTACCAGTTTGGGAAAAACTCTGCACTTAGCATCAGTTTAGCATTATGAGAAACAGCCTCAGTTTAACCTTGGACTTGTTTGCTCCATGTTTTTCCTCTGCTTTGGGTGTGAAGGATGTTCAGAATACTTTGTTTCTTTTTAAAATTAATTATGGCTTGTGACACACAAGCCCAAACATATTGTGGGTTCATTTTTTAAACAACCCAAGTTCAAACCATAATGTATGAAGCTGGGTTTTATATATTTACAGTGGTGCCTCGCAGGATGATTAATCCACAAGATGATTGGTTTTTGTGATTGCTGTGGCGCTTCGCAAGACGATGTTTCCATGGACGATTTTCGCAAGACGACGATTTTCCCCCCATTGGAATGCATTAAATAGATTTCAATGCATTCCAATGGGGAACCGCGTTTTGCAAGACAGTGTTTTCACAAGATGACGTTTTTCGCGGAATGAATTAACATCGTCTTGCGAAGCACCACTGTATGGCTAATCTGAAACCATGTGTTAGCATTTGAATGGTGTGTTAAACTACAGCTTATCCAGAATGGGAGCAGAAGCTTTAAATCTCCTTTTGGCTGCAGAGGAGAAGGGGCGCAGAAGCCTTGGACTTCCTGAGACTTGTTTTCTTAATGCAGAACTACAATTTACTGTATGCATCTAAAAATACATGTTCTCCATTGCTAAGGTGATCTTTAAATGTAACATGCAGAATTGTGTTGAACTTCTTCATTTTTCTTGTAGAATATCTTCACTAATCATACATTGGATGTAAATGTGAGGTGGTTAGCAGTGTTGTACTTCAAAAATGGAATTGACCGCTATTGGAGGCTAGTGGCACCACAGTAAGTAACAAATTTATTGTCTTTCCATTTTTCTTGCCCACTGGTTAAAATAGTGATTTAAATAAAATATGAAAGTAATGAGAAGAAAACATATTTCCTGAGTGGTAGCATGCAAAATACTTATCTGTAGTGATCTCTACCATTAAGGAGATAGAAATGTATTCACAATTTCCATGATGATGACCTCACTCCTCCCTGCTTCCTATGGCAGTGTTTAGGGACAGTAGTAACATTCTTACTCAGCACCAGATCTGTCATATTCATACCCATTGCATATCTTGTTTCTAAATAACTGTCACAGAAGGGTTAGTGTACTTTTTTCACCAAGTGACTACAGTGGTGCCTCGCTTAACGAGCGCACCGTTTAACAACGAATCCGCATAGCGATGCGGATTTAGCGATCACAAAAGCAATCGCATTGCGATGTTTTCTATGGCCGAAAATCGCATTGTGATGATCAGTATGCATTTCGCTTACCGATCTTCGCATTGCGATGTTTTTTTAAACAGCTGATCGGCGGTTCCAAAATGGCCGCCGGGTGCCCAAAATGGCCTCCGCAAGTGTTTTCGCGCCCTGTCCTCGCTTACCGAGGGCGCGAAAATGGCGGCGCTATGGAGGAACTTCACTTAACTGTGAGTTTGGGAGCCATAGGAACGCATTAAACGAAGTTTAATGTGTTCCTATGGCTTGTTCCGTTCTGTTTAGCGATGTTTCTGCATAGCGACGATTAATCCAGAACGGATTAACATTGCTATGCGGGGCACCACTGTATATAGTTGTTGTGCAGTATAGTAATGAGGGACACGAGCACAGGATGATGTGTATACCTTTTACAGACAACTCCCCACTTTGGCCCAAATTGTCCATATGGACAGTCCTCCTTGCTTGATCTGTATTAAACTTTTAGGCCAGTCTGAATCAGAGGCTACTGGTTATTAGTTTGCTCATTGCTACTGCCTATCAGAATCAGTGTGACTCGCCTGAGGTCACCTACTTAGTTTCATGGCAGAGTTGGGTTCAGGTTCTAGACTTCTTGAGCTAGATGCCATTACTGTGATTCTGAAAATAATATCAGTTGCTTTCTGAATTTTCAGTCGTTTCCTAAACAGACTGAATTTACAAATTTACAAAGTATATAACAAAGATGGTGGTAAGGAACTTGCCATTGTCTGTGTTAGACTGCAGTTTTGTACTTCTCTGAGTTTTACAAAATATTAATTAGCTGCATAATTTTAAAAAGTTAATGAAAGGTAATGGGTAAGTCTTCCAGCGTTGTCTGTGTTAGACTGCAATTTTGTACTTCTGAGTTTTACAAAATGTTAATTAGCTGCATAATTTTAAAAAGGTAATGAAAGGTAATGGGTAAGTCTTCCAGCATTCTCATGAATACACAAAACTCATTGATTTTTGAAGAAATGGCAAATTACATATTGATACATCTTAATAATAATGCCTTTAATTTCCCAATGAACAGTGCTCTTTCAGAAGAAGAGAAATCTACATTACGTGCAGGGCTTATTGCCAATTTCAATGAGCCAGTAAACCAGGTTAGTGTTGATATAAAAGATTATTGTGAACTGTAATTCTTTCTTTGTAATTTGTAGTTTTGTTTAGTTTAGAACTAAATGACTGGTGCTTTAAAGGAATGAGTTTGTTTTATTTTATGCTGTTTAGGGAAAATATTTTTAGTGGTAGTTCACAAACATAATGGTAGTTCATGAAGATAGGTAGCAACTGTTATGCCCTTTGAGCATGTAGTAGAAGAATCAGAAATTCATGTATTAAGATATTGTCACTGGTTTTGTTGTTTCTTCTTAATTTCCAACAGAATTTCACTCAAAGTAAAAACTTTAAAAGTTAGCTAGTTCATGTGGTATGATGTGATTGCTGAAATGAGTATGTTGTATGCTGCTATGTGCATATGGGCAGATCATGGTCCTTTGAGTATATTGGAGAATAAAACATGTTAAGTTGTAGAAAGTTAGTTTTCTAGGTTGGTTTCATTAAAAATGAAGACTAGATAGTGTTTAGCAGGAGAGGAGTAAAGAGAACAAGAATTAATAAAACATTCGGCTTCCTAGAAACAGATTGCAGAATTGCTGTGTGTTGTATTTGTGCATGTATTCCAGACCAAGATGTAGTCCAAGAAAATACTTGTTTGTAGGCAGTGTTGGAGGTAGGATGAGGGGGAGGGGAATTCCTATCTCAAGACAATTAACTCACCCTTTGCCTCTCCTAGTCTTCACTGCTGGACCCCTGGTTACTTGAAGATGAATTTTGATCTTTATATTGCCAAAAGGGGCCAACCAAGCAATATGGGGTAGAAAGTTTGGGGGGAATTTCAAGAAACATCCCACAGTAGTTACTGAAGAGACACCAAATATAGCCCATTGGGATATGAGTATGTCCATTGACTTTGGTTGATCTCTCATTGGTATAACTGTGCCTGTGGAAAGATGATGACATCACTAGTAGTGGGAGATTTTCAGTAATTAAATACTTCTGTATTCTCTTTTGCAGATTTTTCACCCTTGTAATTAATTCATTTCATTGGGTAAGAAACGTGGAATTTGTAGAAGAGAAGGAGGAAGTCTTTCACTACTGAAAATCTCCCCCTTCTGTAAACATCCAGTGGCAGTGTTTTTCAGTAATGAAATACTTCATCTTTCCATTCCATGGCTCCCATCTGTCAACAGGATTTCAGCCCCTGGTGGAAGACTGATTGTATGGAAAAGTTAACAAGTGTAATTCACAATGCAGCATTTATTTTTCAGATCCCACTTCAATCAGCTGTTTTTCTGTAGTCTTTCAGAAAAGAAAGACTACTTAATCTGTAATTGATGTATCTGCTTTGTCAAACTTGGCAGTGTGTTGCCTGGAATTTCAACAGAAATATGAGGGTTCTTAACATAAAATGACAACAAAACCTGACCCTGTCTTTGTATTGTAGCTACAAAGAGCCTGTTTGTCTTTACTGGGGATGTGTCTTATGGTTGTCTTTGCAGATTGCCACACAGATAGCTGTTTTGATTGCAAAGGTTGCTAGACTGGATTGTCCTAGGCAATGGCCAGAACTTATTCCTACATTGGTAGAATCAGTTAAAGTTCAAGATGATCTTCGCCAACATAGAGCTTTACTTACTTTTTATCATGTCACCAAGACACTGGCATCTAAACGGCTTGCTGCAGACAGAAAACTTTTCTATGATGTGAGTATCACTTTCAGTAATGGACCATTTTAGCCGGATCCATTTCTCATGCTGTTTCATTGATTCTGATCCCCAACAGAATAATGTAACAATAACACCCAACTATGAACACTGAAGGCTCCTGTCTGAGAGCTCTTCATATAAGAAGAACTCTTTTTAACCTTTAGTTGATAATGGCCTGTTAGCAAAATGTATCATTGTGATAATGTTTGGCATGTGTACTAGTAAGCATGATCTATTCCATTTAATAGAATCCATGCTGTGACTGTTAATTAAACATTATTATTATTATTATAAATGTAGACATTGTGCTAAACAGTGTAATCCAGTATTCTGGAAATAAAACTAGGTATACTTTTCCAAAATCACAAGTGCTGCATGAAAATTTATGTTTTTATTAACTCCACATAGCAAATTTTCTGTGAGAACGTATTTAAAGTGCAGAGAAATTAAGGCAAATTTGGAGCAAATGTAAGGGTGCAGCAGATGGCTTTTTTCAGAAGGTTGTAGGGAAGGAAGGAATTTTTGATGTATAGCTGTACTTCTCAAAGTACAAATAAAATCATACTGTTTCTTGGAAAAACAATTGCATGTTAAGGCATAAATTGGATTATGTCTGAGGGGGAAAAGTACTTGCATAACACATAAGATTTATTACCATCTGTCTCCATTTTGCTATTTACTATGATAATTTGAATAATTTCTGGGGGGAAACTTGTAATTAGTTTACATTTTGCTTAGCAGTGTCTCTGTCATCAAAATAGTTTTATTATGACTGCTGTACTTGGAGTACTATTTCAGCATTTCTGAGAGGGAGTTAGTACTTCAGTCTAAATTTTCACTTTGTGTTTTGAGGTTTTGTTAATTGCTATTAACATCTTGATAGACTAGAAACATGTAGCTTGAGAAATGTGTACAGTGGTGCCTCGCTTGATGAGGATAATCCATTCCACCGAAATCGCTGTAAAGCGAAATCCTCGTCAAGCAAAATAAAAAAGCCAATTGAAACGCATTAAAAACCACTCAATGCGTTCTAATGGGCTAAATACCTCAGCGTTGAGTGCAGATCCTCCATAGGGCGGCCATTTTCCGATGCCTGTGCAACAAAAATCCGCCCTAAAGCACAGCAGGGAGCCATTTTACACAGCGGGGGGCCATTTTGAAACCTGATGATCAGCTGTTTTGATCATTGTAATGCAAAGCGGTTCCCGAAGCAGGGAACTGATCATCAGGAAGTGAATTTTGCCCATTAAAACATCGTTTTGCGATCGCAAAAGCGATCGCAACAACCTCATCGTCAAGCAGATTTGTTGTTTAACAAGGTAATCATTAAGCGAGGCACCACTATATGTTGGTGTCTGACTTGTGTATATGTCATTCTGCTCAGAACTGAAATTTTAATGACAAAGCCCTCCTCCCCCATCAGGTTTTCATCTAAATTAGGCACAGGAAATATTCTGCCCTATGGATGTTCTTAAACTGCAACTTCCACAATCTCTCGTTATTCGCTCTGTTGACTAAGATTGGCTAGTTGTACTCCAAGAAGATCTGGAGAGATGAATCTGTTTAAAGTTAGAAATTAGACCCTCCAGATATTTTGGATTGCAGCTTCCATAATTCTGTACCATTTGTTGTACTGGCTGTGGCTCTAAGCAGTCAAGTACAAAACATCTGGAAAACCTAAGAATCCCCACCTGTGGTTTTGGTAGATGGAAAATATGTAATTCCTCTTCTCTCTCCTCCTTTATGTATGACTGAAAGATATAACTCACTTCAGTTTCACAAGGAGTATATCAAGCCATGGTTTTATTCTGGAATATTTTAAATAATGTTTCAAGAGTTTATGTTATTCTTTGGATACTGGCTCAAACCCAGTGAAACTTCAATCATGAGAAAGAGTTCAAACCTAAATGTATGTCCCAGTAAAACTGGGGAAACAGGTTGATCATGAGCAGTTGCATTCATGTTAATGTTATGACTACCTTTAGCAAGCCGCTGTGTTTTCTTACAAAGATCTATTTTTGCCACATGTCATTTGTTTTAACCTTTCTAAATAATTTTTATTGCAGTTAGCATCTGGAATTTATAGTTTTACCTGTTCCTTGTGGAATCATCATACAGATACATTCCTCCAGCACACTTGTACTAGAGATGAAACTGCTATGAGCAATTCATTAGAAAGGACTATATTATCATTGAAAGGTAATTGATAAAATTGCAACAGTACAAAATGTATTAAGTCACTGTGTTGTTATGTGCCCTCAAGTTGTTTCTGACATGATGATCCAATGAATTAATAATAATCTTCGAAAGGTGCTATCACCCTGTTTAGGTTTTGCAAATCGGAGACCATGGTTTCCTTTTGTGAACTCTTCATGTTAAATCTTATACTCTCTTCTATTGTGCCTAGCATTAGTGTCCTTTCTATATGTTTTGTCTTGTGATATGTTGGAAGTTCAGTAGCCTCAACATAGTCAGGCTTGCTTTGATTTGTCTTTCTGGTGGTCCACTGTATCTATAAAATCTTTGTCTCAAGTTTTGCATCGTAACACTTAACACTGATATTTGGCTTCATAGAATTCTGTATGTCATTTCCCTACTTTGTTTCTCACCTTTAGGCCAAATTATTGAAGAGCTTTGTTTCTCATTTATTTCCTGTTTGCCTTCCAGTCACAAATGATTATCTGCATATCCTGTTTTGCTGAGTGATAAATTTTCTGTGGCCACTTACAAAAAGCTTTCAGTTTTTTATTCTTTCAGTGTCTATAGTTGGAATATAGTCTTGAATGATGATTATATTAATAGGCTTTCCTGTTGATATAATTGGATCAGACCTTGCAGTATATTTCCTAATTGTATGTGCTGTATCTCAGCTTGCTGTTAGATGTATATTGCTTATTCTGGGTTTATCTTTTTCAGAATAAAACACATACTAATTGTCTGAAAGTATTGTTTTTCTATTCAATGTAGTTGGTCACACCAAGTGTTAAATGTTTAAATATTCTATTTTTTGTTTTTTAATGTCAAACTTTGATTCATACTTCTTACATTGCAGCTTCCACTTCTGTTTGTTTTATAGCACTGGACTTTCGTTTTGACTCTGTATGTGCCAGCAGCTGGATATCTTTTCAGTTTTAATCTAGTTGCTTTACTAGCAACAGCACTATTTCTGCTTTGCAGTTCTCTAGTAGCTAATGCTGTGGCTTCTGAATTGTGAATTTTGTCCTCTAGCACTATCTCTTGTTTGGATTGTCTCATTATATGGTTTTTGGGGTATCGCTATTCAAAGTAGTTTACCATTATTTTCATCTGCACATTATAAACAAGATTTGGTTTGATTGTCATTGCTGTTGTCTATGAAAGTTCCCCTGTCAATGTCATCTTCTAGTATTGTTGTTGCCCACTAGCTATCCCTGTAGAACTTCTTCACCTGCATCACTTTTGGAACTATCAAATCCCTTCTGCTGATACTGAGAAGGGTGGATGCACTTCAGTTTGTTGTTTCAGTTTTGATAATTCTACCTTGGATGAGGATAGTGGAAGTTATAACAGAATCTAACACCCTGCTGATGCTGTTTCCGTTCCCTTTTACACTCTCTTCAACACATTAAGATGTGCTTCCAGGTTGGGGATTGAATCAATAAAAATGTATAAAATAACATGGACTCTTAGTTTTTCCAGAAAGAATTAAGAAAATGTGGTGTAGAATTATACAGTGGTACCTCGCTAGAAGACAACCTCGCAAAATGACGAATCCGCATGACGATGAGATTTTGCGATCACTATAGCAATTCGCAAAACAGTGATTCGAATGGGCGATTTTCGCTGGACGATGTTTGGGTCCCTGCTTCGCAAACCGTTTCTCGCAAGATCGGTGCTTCGCAAAACGGGTGTTTTCGGGACTGATGCTTCACAGGGCAGCCATTTTAACAGCTGATCGGCACTTCACAGAATGGCTTCCCTATGGGCGATCTTCGCAAAATGACAACGATTTTTCCCCATTGGAACGCATTAAACGGGTTTCAATGCAATGGGGAAACGGTTTTCACAAGATGATGTTTTCGCAAACCTATGGAACGAATTATCGTTGTCATGTGGGGCGCCACTGTACTAATGATACATTTTTCCTGCTGATAGGATAAGGTTATTCTGGACCTTTAAAAAGTTGAATATATTTTTCTTCAGGTTCATATGAGCTATTTTTTATTTTTACAGCACTCACATTTTGCAAAAGATACAATATTATAGTCCTGTCAGTGCCTGGAGCTTTTCTTTAATTCTAAGATTTATGTCACTTTGGAGTGTTATTTTAAATTACCAACCCATTGATTTTTAAAGTAACACTGTGTAGGCTGTTCTCCCACCTAACATTTTTAATCAGACAAGTCAGTGCAGTGCTAAATGTAGCTGTTCATATTTTATTCTTCTTGTAATATGCCATGCCTTAGTACTGTTGAAAGTTTAGTTTATAATAAAACTTCTTTGTAAAAATGTAGAAAAATAGGTGGAAAGTTCCCATTTTCTCTTAGAACAAAACCAAAAATTTCATAACCCTTTTCAATTATTTGAGCAGAATAGAATGTTATAATTGTAGAGGAATTGGTCTCAAGAGCACAAAAATACAGTTATTTAGTAAAATTATGGTTGTAATATCTTTGTTATATATCGATTAGGATGTCTTCTTTTCTTTAAAAAAAGGAATATAAAACCCATATTGGCTGAGAAATTGAGCATCTAAATATTTATTCTTTAAATAAACCATTAGTTTATAGCAGTAATTTTAGAAATGTATTGGGGTTTTTTTTGAATAGCCTTTAAAAGTGAAGTGATATTTATGGGCCAATAAAATTTGTTTAATTTTTCAGTACTTCGTAAATTGACTGTCCATGGGTTTGTGGAACCTCATCGGAACATAGAAGTGATGGTAGGTAGCAAACATTTGTTTTCCGCAAATATTTTATGCTCTTTTGATCTAAAGACCATGATACATTAGTACTGCTCTGCTAGTTCATCTTCATGTTCCAGCCATCCTTCCTAAGAAAAATCAATTGGGGACATTTTCTGAGCTGCCTGGAAGTTCAGGCTTACATATAGGGCGTTGTGGGGAAGATCTCCCCTGTTCTGTTGACAGTTCCCTGGCAGTGGAGAGAACCATTTTACCTTTAGGGTTCCATTAATCAAACTGGTTTCATCAGCAGAACAAACCCTTATTTTAAGTTGTTATGTCTGGAATTTTAAGGTGTAGACAACAGATCCAAAAGGGAAATGAAATGTGGTATCACCATATCATAGCCATATGTGTGTGTGTGAAAGAGAGAGAGGGATTTAAATGACAGAGTTTACTTTATTATTTCCTCTTCCCTTCATTTTTATCATAATGTCAGTAATTTGAAATTCAGGGAGTCGGTACTTTTTCAGAAAAAAATAAGTGACTTTTCTTTATATGTATTATTTAAAATAGCAATAACAATGTATATTTGCACTTTCAATTTCCTGATCTCTGTCCTTTTCATATAGGATAAAACTAGATGATGGCTGAAATCCTATTGGTTAGTGTAGCGAAGAGGTTGGGAATTCAGTTCCCTACAGTGCCTCCTTGACATGGGTTAGACTTGATGATCCTTATGATTCCTTCCAGCTCTACAGTTCTAAGATGATGATAATAATGAGTCATATGCCTTGATTGTGATTAAAGTTCACTCTGGTCAGCTGTTCTATTTTCTAGAGGGTTAAATCCATTTCCCTCCTTTCATTGGTTGATTTTTAAATAATGTAAATTAGAAAAATTAAATGCATATAAACATTTAGCTTATAATCTAGTTTGTCCCTTAAATACTGCTAGCTCATCTGTTCTGCTTATTGCCCATAATTTCCTTTCCTGTGTCCCTGTTGTTTCTTGCCAATAATGTACTCTGAAACATTTTAGTGAAAATATGATATTCTTCTCTTTCTTATGGTTTCGTGTAGTACAGTTAACTTTATTTTGTGTTTTTATGCCTTCTAGGGATTTCTCCATGCCATATTTGAACGGTTGAAGCAATTTTTGGAATGCAGTAAGTATTTGAAGTTTTGCTTTTGCAGTATTATATTTCACAGCACAAGACAATATTGTCAATGCAAATGTTATGCATCTTGAGCTTATGTTATTGATTATGTGTTTTATTTTAACTTGATGCTATTTTGTAAACTGCCCAGAATAATGCGTTGCACTACTGGGGCAGAAAATACATGCATGCATGCATGCATGCATGCATGCATACATACATACATACATACATACATACATACATACATACATACATACATACATAATATGAAATATTATGAAATACAGTATGTCAAGCCATGCAATACTAAGAATTGGCTGGATAGCTCAGAGTTAGATATCTAGCTGTGAAGCCAGCTGGGCAAGCTGCACAGTCACAGAAAGCCCCCCAAAGAAGGGAAAGGTAAACCACTTCTGAACACACTATACCAAGAAAACCATGAATTGACTTGATGGCTTATCATCATCATCATTCATCATCATCAACAACAATTCTAAGCATTTTTACTGGGAGATACGTTCTACTACATCTGACATAGGCTTCCTCCCTAGACAGTGGCTGAAATCTAATAGTAAGTTGAACTAGAGTAGGGCCATTGAACCAGTAGAGTTTTGGTGAGTCCATAAGTTCCAGTGAGTCAGTGGGTCTACCCTAGTTGCGATGTAGTACTGAATTTCAGCCAGCCAGTTTGTTTAGAGTTGTGATCATAGGCAGAAATCCTTTTGTGTAAATTGCATCTGCAGAAGGGTGAACATGTTGCTGGCATAGGTTTTGGTAATTAAAACCTGTCCTGTGGCTTTTCCAACTCCAGTAGAACAGAAAGATGAAGTCTTTAAATACCAAGAATCTCCATCTTCTGGTACCATCATCTGACTGTGGTGAATTTTTTAATAATTAAAAACTTCCTCCTTACATCCTGTGGCTCCCACAGCTTCCACGTTGTGAAAGAGATTGCATAAGAGTTGGAAGAACCATGGGACAGAAGTAGGAAACTTTCAATTACTGAATATCATCCCCAGCCAATAACTCCATTACCCTTTCACACACAGTCCTTTTTCTAGACATGGTGTTCAGAATTATACTGTAATTTATGTTGCCAAATGATAAAATACTTAACAAAGGGTGTTTTTTTAAAGGAAATGTTTGCCACATAGAGTATTTTCCTAATCAGATTAACTATTAGGTTTATGATTGAAATATTCTGGCTTTTATAAGCAATCACTGAGATCCAGTAGTAAGTCGCAGCTAGAGTAGGCCTATTAAATCAATAGAACTTATGTAAGAGTGGTTCACCAAATCGCCACTGATTCAGTGAGCCTGCTCTAGTTGTGACTTACTACTGAATTTCAGCCTGTATATTTGAAATTTTCAGTTGACATCAAGAGACATTTTGGAACTAGTCTTCGATTATTATGTTTTCAGATTTAATTGGATAAGCTATTGAATGATTGCCATTTTAATTTGGCAGGATTTGTTGGTCTTCAGAGGTTTCAAAATGTATCACAGAGATTGATTATTTTATCATGACATAATGTTTGCCAGTATTATTATTTTCCATATTTCAGATCAGGGACTGTGGTTTGAGAGGCTGGCTTGTGTTAAACTATCTCATGTATTCATGGTGAAGTGAGATTCCAGCTGGGAGCTTCCAGACTTTGCTTTCTTGCTACTCTCTGTATTGAATATATCAATTGCTATTCATTATTATTTCTTTCAGTTGTCTTTACTTTTGTTTCTGTATACTCAATTTGTACATTTTGCTAAATCCGAATGTTAACTTTTTGCTATTAAATTTACTGAATTAGGAACACTTTCAATCAAATGTAGTAAACTGAAGTTAGGTAACCATAATCTGCTTAGTTTTCAAGGCATCACAGTCTTACGTGTTTTCTGCTGTTCTGGGGTTTAATAAAATACAAAGGTTTAAATGTTTTATTTACTAGGTAGAAGTATAGGAGCAGATAATGTCTGCAGAGATCGTTTAGAAAAAACAATAATTCTGTTCACTAAAGTGGTAAGTTTTCTATGTATTAAATTCACTAAAATATTGTTCCTGCATTTCCACATCATATGCATTATCCAATGTTTGTGTTGTCTTCAGTGCAGAGTTCTTCAGAGAGGAATATGTCTGAATATATTACTGTTTGCCATTATATATAAATGCATACACTGATTTCCAGTCCCCGGCAAGCAGTGCAGTGTTATCTACATTTGCTTAGGAATAGAATCCATGGCATTTGACACTACTGAAGGCCTATACTCACGTATCTGAACTCAGTAGGGCTTGTTTTGGGGTACATTTGAAAATAATTGACTGTATAATATAATCCCTCTTCAGCCATACCAGGTATAATTAAACTGAACTTGTGAGGAAAGGGAGCCGTATAGCCCTACCACCACCCTTTCCCATTATTTTTTCTCTTTATGAAGAGTACAGTCATGTGGAAAGAAACCCCTGTGTTATGTGATGAGAAGCTGTATGTATGGAGGACATTATTCTCTTTAGATTATCATTTTCCATCAGAGGCAGGGCACGGCTAGCTTGATTCCTTTCCTCATTCATTCACATTAACCTGACCCTGAATGTCTCAATGGGGTTGCAGTATAAAATGGGAATTTTATATCTGCCAAAGAATTAAATTCTGCATGCACTTTTTAATCTGAAAATTTTAATTCAAGACTACCACATGAAATTTAGTAAAGTGGTCTTTTCTTGAATATCTGTGCAACTTGACAGCCTTGCTAATAGTAGCTGTTAATCTTGAAATGCTATTTATTCTGCACTAATGAAACTAGTTTTAGAACAACCTGTTCACATAAGAAAATATAAAAGGATGGTTTTATGTTCACACAATGCCTGGAAAACTTACAGCGTCTGATAATTGTTTCAGTTCAGGGAAAGTTCAGTTCATCTGTAAACAATGCCTCCCATTCATTTTTGTACACAGGATATAATTATAGTAGATGTGTGGGTGATTATTCATGTCAGTTTGAAATCTAAATTTATATTGAACATGAGTAATTGATAAAACATTTAGTTAAATAGTAAATGCCAGCTGAAGCCTCCTGTCTTTTACAATAAAGTGGTTTTATTTTTAAATGTAGTTTAAAATAAAAAGTTAAATATAGTTGGAAAATAGAAGTGCATGAAATTAAACATAGAATAAGATGCAAACGTAACTTTTAAGGATACAGTAATGAGAACACAATTTTCGGTAATTTGCTTGTACAAAACAGCAAATTACAATTGTAGAGATACCTGGCTTTTAGAAGCGAGCATTCTCCAGAATTTAGATTTATTCTTTTTTTACATATTGTTTAAACTTGCTGAATAAGAGATTGTTGAAGCTGTTAAAATTCAGAACAAAAAACCAAAACTTTGACTGTAAAGAACATGTCTAGAACAGATCTCCAGTGTCCTACTAAATTACTCTATTCAGTATAACACATTGACTCTTATAATATTGTTCCATGTCATTTTTATCTAATGTTATTTATGTCTGTATTTCTAGTTTTCATTTATGTTATTCTGTTATATTTTCTCTCATTCAACTTACAGCTTTTAGACTTCTTGGACCAACATCCTTTTTCATTCACCCCTCTAATTCAGAGATCACTGGAATTTGCTGTAAGCTGTGTTTTCACAGAGGCTGGGGAAGGAGTTGTGTTTGAGCGATTTATTGTCCAGTGCATGAATCTGATTAAGATGATTGTAAAAAATTATGCTTACAAGCCATCCAAAAATGTGGAAGGTAATTTGGCTTTTTTATTTTAAAAATGTAAACTAAACATTGATAATTGCAAATTCCTTTCTAATAAAAATTACTAAAGTATATATTAATTTCACCTTAACTATTTATTGCAGATAGCAGTCCTGAAACCCTTGAAGCTCATAAGATAAAGGCATCATTTTTCACATACCCAACATTAACAGAAATATGCAGGCGGCTGGTCACTCATTATTTTCTGTTAACTGAGGAAGAGCTAGCAATGTGGGAAGAGGATCCAGAAGGCTTTAGTAAGGAGATAGTAAATCTTTTGATTCAATTTTATTTTAGTACATAATATGCTGTGTTTATGATACCTAAGTTTACAATGTTACAGTTAACAATATATTAACTGATCTTTTAATTATTTAAAAGTTTGCAGAATTGTACTTTGTATCAGTATTGCATTTTTAAATTTCTGTTACTATTTAGGCTGCAATCCTACAGTCACTGAATGGATATTGAAGGGGTTACATAATGGATTATATCTCTCCCTGTTTACTATTTTATTAGATGTCTTAAAGGAAGATGTTAACTTGGAAGTTAATGTTTTAAAATGGATCACCTGTTTTTAGAGGTTATGGAAATTATGTTTTAATTGTAATATATTTAAATTTAGTATATTGCTGGTCTTTGACCGTAAATAAACAATTGAATTATATGAATCTATATCCTGAATAATGTTACCAATTTTAAAAAACGTCCCTCCAAAACTAAGCAAAATGTCCACTATAGGAGTGAAATATCCAATCTTAAATCCTTCCTTCTGCTCTCCCAGAGATATTTCTGTAGCCTTTGCTTCTACATCAGTGTTACAGTGTTTTAGTGGTGGTGTGAATTTGGGAGGTTTGGGATCTTGATCCATAAGAACCACAACCTTCTAGATCTGCAAAGTTGACCTGATAGAAAGAGAAATACACACTAGCTTTGACTGTAGCAGGAGAGAAATCTTCAAAAGCAAAAACAGGGAAACCCTGCTACTTCTCCTTCTCTACTGCCTTGCCAGCATTAGCTCAGCAATGCTCTGGATATGGCAATTCCTTTTATCTTTGGATCTTCCCACTTCATCTGTTGTATTGCTGTATTAATTCTGTATTCCCTCATTTGTTTACATCAGCTGTGGAAGAGACAGGAGGAGATTCTTGGAAATACAGTATCAGAGTAAGTAATCTATACATAGTAGTATTATTTCTTTGTTGAACATAGTTATTAATTATCCACATTTTTGGAAGCATGCCATAATACTTTAAAAAGCATCCACGTACTTGTAGATCCCAGTACCAGGATATTGGGGGGGGGGGGACTTTTGAGGAATTGGAGATTTTGAATTATGCAAAGGAAATTTAGATGGAGGTGCCCGGACCTTTTCAATAATAGAAACTGCTCATGGCCTTTTGAGGTATAGGGACACTTTGGCATTTGAATATATGTTCTGTCAGAATTTTCAGATTGCCCATAGTAACTTGGCTATTAGAGGAGCATATGCATATATCTGGAAGTTCCCATGCTTTGTGTTGCATGCATGAGGATAATTTCTGCTACTGTCATTTCTGTAGAGTTAAGTATGTTGATTGTGAATTGTTGTTACATGTGGTGTATTAGGTGACATTAACACATACGTTGCCATCCATTAATGAATATATTGCCATTCCTTTCAGCTATTTCCAAGACTTCAGTACTATTCAGTACTTCAGTAATATTCTGTAGCAAATGAAGAATAAATAAGGATGATGCATACCTACATTGTGCAAACAATTGGTTTGTAGTATCCAGAGACTTCTAGCACAATAAAGTAAATGGAGTACAAGGGAATTTGTCTGCCCTGGACTGGTGTTAATATTCATGAATCCAATTCAGTAAAGATTTTTCCCCCTGCAAGCAACAGGAATAACTACTATCTGGAACAGTTATAAGAATGTGCCTTTAGTTTTGTTTTGTTTTGTTTTTGCTCCAAGTCATAGAATTCTCAACAGATTCCCTAGGAAGAGTTCTGGGAGTTGCAGTTCACAGATCCACATCTACAGTCATGTACATTTCATGCACCTGAACCATGGCCTATCTGTGAGATGGCATAGCCTAGCTTTGATCTTGACTCTTTGTATCAATGTACAAAAAGGGAGCTGCTTTGGTTGTTTCTGGTGTGGTAGTCTCACTGTCCTTTAGTCTATAAATGGTGCTTCCTGAGGAACTAGCACTCCCAGGAACACCACAACAGCTTCCTTTTTTGGTATATTAATAACAGGAAACAAAGCCAAAACTAGGCTATGGAGCCTTGGACCTTTGGCCTGTTCTAGATGAAGGCAATGTAGGTGTCTGTAGGTGCAGATCTGTAGATGGAACTTGCAGAATTCTGTCCCAGAAATTCCTGGAGAATTCTAGGAGTTGGAGCTGAAAAAACAAAAATGAAGAAATAAGGAGGCACATCCTTAGATAGTTTCAATATAATAGTATGCAATTGAGAATTCTGTTCAGTTTTATAGATGTCTCATGCTGTTTTAGGGCAATTCTGTTTTTTGTCACATTATCATACTATCAGAACTGTACTTAAATATTGTTAAATGATATTAATTTACTTGGAACAATGAACTTTGAAAAGTAATAATTTCTACCGTATGTCAAAAACTTGATGATTATGCTAATTGTAATTTTCTTTTGTTCTGTTCATGCAGTTAGATAAATGTGATTTGATAGTAATTTATTTGTAAATTGATTTACTTAAGCTGTTTTGCCTTCTATAATAAATATTAAAACTTATTTTCAGCCATGCACAGAAGTACTCTTCATTGATATTTTTCATGAATACAATCAAACTCTTACCCCAGTTCTTCTAGAAATGGTTCACAGTTTACAAGGTACTTTTTAGTTTTTTATGATCTGTAGTATGGCAACATATATTTTACTGTAAAACATTAGATTACATTTTTAATATTACTATAAACATTTGTCTGGCATATCAACTAGTATCTATATCTTAATTTCAGCTACAGTGCATCTACTGTACCAATGGCAGTTTACTAAGCCAGCTCCTAAGTCAGTGAATCTATTCTTTTTGAACTTGTGAGATTAACTGTTGGATTTAGGTCTAGATTTTTATTGAAGATTCGTGGAAATAGAATAATACCAGAAGGAAATGGAAGTAAATTGTTAAATTTTTTTTATAAGTTAGAATCAATATAGAAACATCTCTGTGAGACTTGTCATAGAATTTTTCCGTTTTAATAGTATTTTAGTTCTTTTAGCAAAGGATTAATGTTGACATTCTCAGGACAGTTCACAATATCCAATAAATACCATGTAATAAATACAAAAAAATACAATAAAATGCAGTAAAGTCTATTGCTATATAAAATTATCTTTAAAGAAAAATGCACGAATTAAAACCCATTTGAGAATTTCAGTACAATATACAAGGCAGCTTTATATAATTTGGTCTTAATTAGCTTCCTAAAAACAGAGAGATTGTGCTTGGCAACCTCTGTAGGAAGCTTATGCCAGAGGGAAGGGGCCACAACCAAGAAAACTTGGTTCCTAAGGTTGGATTTTTTGGCCTTTTCGGGTGTTACACTTCTTACTGTCAAAGGCTGGGAGGAGCACATCCAGGATAGTATTTTATGGGAGAGATGTTCCACCAAATATGAAAGTCCTAAACCATTAAGCGCTTTATAGGTTATGACCAACACTTTAAATTGAGCACAGAAACTAAGAGTCAATAAAGAAGTGCCAAAACTGGGAATATGTGTTCATATCTGCTACTACCTGTATTCACTCTGGCCACTGCATTTTGGACCTGTTGAAGTTTCCATATCAACTTCAAGAGCAGCCCTAAATAGAGAATGTTACAGTATTCTATTTTAGAGATGATCACCACATGAACCATTGTTGTCGAGCATTTCTTATCAGCCTAGGGACACAGCTGAACAATTGACCAAAGTTGAAAAAGACCATCTTTGTCATAGATACTTGTCCCTCTCTAGAGAGAGCTGGGTCCAAGAGTACCCCTGAGCTGTGAACCTGATCTTTCCAAAGGAGTGTTAACCCCACTGAGGTTTATCATAAAGTATGAAGTACTTTATTAAACTAAATAAGCAGGAGAACGCCTCTTAAATATACACATATCATTCTCAGTCATCCAAACCATGATGTAGAAATTTAAAGAACAGGACATCTGAAAATAGCCTGCCTCTTAAAGTTTATGTTCACTCTAGTAAAGAAATATTTCTGCCAATACATAAATAGATACCCACCTTTCCCTTCTTAGTAACATTGTTCTCCTCATTAAGGAATCTTATTTCCCAGTTTGAAGATTATTCGTTTAAGAAAAATTAGAGAATGTAGATCTACTTTTGCATAATTTCTTTCTTTCTAGGTTCTCTGAAACATGTGTTTCTGCATCATAGGCTTCCTTGCTAATTTCTAACATTTCAGTGTGAATTTTCTTTATTCCAGTCCCCACCAACATGGATGATACCCAAGCTCTACTAATTAAAGATGCTGGTAAATTAAACATCCTTTTTTTATTTGTTTGATCAATTGGCAACATTTGTAATTGTCTGAATTTTTTAAAGCAAAGGCCAAAATAAATAACATACACAACATACATAGCCAGTCAGTGAGAAGAATAGTTTTTTCTAGTACTGTGCTGTAAAACACATTCAGAAGTCTAGAGTGTTATTCAGATATCATGAATGATGGTTCTGCGAATATGTTTAGAAAATAATACAAAGGCTCCCTTCTCACCTTTTGCATTCTTCACAGTTTTACTGCAAGTTCTGAAAAGGAGATGTTCGTGATTCCATGCAGTTTCTATATATGAAAAAGGAACCCAGATTTTCCAAGATCTGTGCTCACATGTCCCCCCTGCATAATAAAATAAATGATAATTTGTTACAGTGACTAGGTGGCTCATCCTTGTTCACAGTCGAGTGTGCCTTTAATTACTAGATGGTGGTACAGCAGGTAATTGTTCTTGTACCTTTTGTGTCTGTGACAGAGATGCTGAGCACTGGAAAACAAATTACTGGGATTGATGCTCCTGCTTTAGAAAGGAATTCTAATAGTAATCTAAACTTCACTGAAACACTTTCTTGAGTGTTTTCAGAATGTGTTTCTAACACAGATTACTTCCCTCTCTCTTTGTATGTATCTATATGCAAGTAACTTAACAGATGGGTGTTTTAAATATTTTGACTTCTGCCTTCTTATGTAACATACTTGGGATTTCAAAAAAAATCTCTTGTGGGCTTTGCGCAGGAATCTCATTGGCCACTATAAAAACAGAATATTGAAGTACAGTAGATTCTATTTGGCCTGATCTAGCGGAACTCTTGTTTCAGTACTTACACTTGAACCTGGTGCAGTAATTCTGGTGGTGATACACAGGCACAAACATTTGTATGTGTGTGTGACTGTTTTGATATTCCTTGTTGAACAATGGTGTTTAATTTCTACCCTTTCAGTGTACAATGCAGTTGGCCTGGCAGCATATGAGTTATTTGACAGCGTGGATTTTGATCAGTGGTTTAAAAACCAGCTACTAGCAGAATTGAAAGTCACTCATGACAGGTATTAATTTTGCTTTATGTTGTGATTTTTTTAATTGGTTGTGGATATAAATTCAGTTCAGTTTCTGATCAAGTCTGGGCAAAAAATTTTTCCCTACTACAATTTCAGAACTTTCTAGCAAAGTTGGCCAGTGGCAAGGAGGGATTGATAATCCAAAGAAAAGATACATTTTTCAAGCTCTGGGTTTTTTGAATACAACACCCAAGTCTTCATTCGTCAGTTCTTGGGTTAAAGGGAGAAAGTATTGGTGTACAGTGAATATGACTTCAAAATTAGTATCTCTTTCCAAAAATGTCCATCTTTATGAAACTATAAAGCATTAAAGTATTTCTTTCAAACATATAACATTAAGAATTGTGGAAATTATTGATCTCAAATATTCTGATATTCCAGGGGGGCTGCAGGGTTAAAAATCATAGTATTTGTCAAAAAATTTTTTCTAAGGTATTAGATGTTATGTAAATAAGCATGTTTAAATGTTTCTGAAATAATGTAATTGTGGTTGTATTCAAAGGTATAAACCAATACGGCGGCGAGTAATCTGGCTAATTGGACAGTGGATTTCTGTGAAGTTCAAGTCGGATATGAGACCAATGTTGTATGAAGCAATTTGTAGTTTGCTTCAAGATCAAGATTTAGTGGTATGTATATACCAATCTCTTACTGTGGAATTAATGTAAATGAAAAATGGTGTAGAAATGGTTGTTGTGGGTTTTTCGGGCTCTTTGGCCGTGTTCTGAAGGTTGTTCTTCTTCAGTGCTGTCCTCTGAAGATGCTGGCCACAGAGACTGGCGAAATGTTAGGAAGAGCAACCTTCAGGACACGGCCAAAGCACCCGAAAAACCCATAACAACCATTAGATCCCGGCCGTGAAAGCCTTCGTGAATACATTGATGAAAAAATTATTGTAACAAATAAATCAGTTGAAATTTAATAAATATACTTAACAAGCATGACCTCTCTGCAAAGATGAGAGTTTTGAAAGGGAAGTAAAAGACTAGAGACAACTTTGAACAGTCTATAGAAGATTCTAAATGCAAAACTTTGGAAGATAAATAATATTTTATTAAATATTATTTACAACATTTATATTTTATTCAAAGTATATGAGTTTCTTCTTTAGCACCTATGTACTAAAGCACTGACCCACTACATATAATATATAAATGATGGAATGTGTCTCATGTTCTTTCCCTATAAGAAATTTTATAAACGTTATGCTTGACGATACATGCTCTGATTTAATTACTTTCTTTCAGGTCCGTATTGAGACAGCTACCACTCTGAAACTTAATATCCTTTCATTTATGTAAAGTGTTCTGTTGTGCCAAATCACTGAAATGGTAATAGTTATTTCAAAATGCACACAACACAAAGAGTTAAGTTTTTCTTAACTATGTTTCACCTGTAGACGACTTCGAATTCAGGACTGACCAGTTCTTACCAGTAAGTGTTTTTGTATGCGAGAACAAATAGTTCAGTTGAAAGGCATATGAAGGGATATTTACATTTTAAAATATTGTTAAATGGTAATATTTTTAATCTAGATTTTACCAATATCTTTACACTGAACAGTTGTGACGTGTACTCTTTTTCAAATATGCTAAATTAAAAAGCAAAGGAAGTGATATTACTTGAAAAGTAATTCCTTCTAGTTCTGTACTTGTGATGTCATAGTAAGCCAGAATTTGCTACAGCGTAGTATCTAATTACTCACACTGCAAATAGAGTAAGCTAGACAAATCACACATCCTTCATCTTGACATGTTTAATATGATGTCCAAACATGGAAGGATCTGGTGTTTAGTCATACATCTTCCCAAGAAGTCAGAGAAATAACACATGGTTTCTTTTCCTGGCTTGTTGTAGGAAAGACAAGGCAGAATAGCAGCTTCCCTTAAAATTCCATGTGGTGCATTTAATTTCTTATAGGTTGATTTTATTTAAGGAGTGGGAATAGAAATCATATGTACAGTCTTTAATGTTCACCCTTCTTTGACATACAATTAACACGCTACAATCCCATTATGGCATAATGGGATTGCTGTGGTGCCTTCTTAGCAGAGATGTTATTTAGCCTGTTTCTCAGTTACTCTTTCATCTTCTCCAGCCTTTCCCTCTTTTTCAGTTCTTAATCTACATCTTTCTAAATGAAACTGAAAGTTATCTGAAAGAGGGGAGGGGGTGTGTACCTGGTACATATACCCCCTGTGAAGTCTGTAATAATTTCTTCAGATATTTTAAAATACCTGCACATAGACTGAGAAGTAAGGAAACGGATGGCAAAGAAAGCTGAATCCGAAAGAAAGAATAGAAGGCAGGATGTTGACCAGATAACAAGAGACGGTGAAGGAGAAAAGAGCTGGGAAAGTAAGTTGATGGAGAACCTTGTAACAGGAACCTTATAACAAGAAAGCACTGAGGACAGTGATGAGAATGACAGTTTGGTACTGTGGACATTTGTCCATCAGGGATGAGAAGACAAGTTTAGTATGGCACACACCTGTATTTCAGATCTAACTCCAATCAAATAATCTCTTATAGTTTCACAGAATAACTGGAAGTTTGGTTAAGATCTGTAGCGATGTCTTTACTACCTCAGACCCATGTTGTCTTTCTCTTACAGTATTTGGAAACTATGTTTACCCTGCTCTTTCAACTCCTTCAAGAAGTTAGAGAATGTGACACAAAGATGCATGTTCTTCATGTTCTGTCTTGTGTAATTGAAAGAGTCAATATGCAGGTAAATTGAGAACCTGAATTGTGAGAGCTAATCACAGGAGCATAAGACAAGAAATCATTAAACATGGGGAAACACATTTGCCCTTTCCCAGCATCTGCATGCATTTTTTCCTTATAAGTTTTTGCATTGTTTATCCAACAACCCTTTTAAAATTTTGTCATTTTTGAGAACAAAAAGCTACAGTTCCACCAAACTCTCAGAATCTTTCCTTGGGCACTGCTCACCTTTCTGTCACTGCTCACCTTTCAGTCAGAAACTTCAGGGAATGAAAACAACCTAGCAATGTCTTTCAAGACATTATGGCATTCTAGATTTTGTATAATATCAGTAGTACCCTTATGCATCTGTAGAAAAACTAAATATTCTAATTAATTGATCAGTAATTGTGTGTGGCCCCTGATACTTTTCACTATAGATCCTCCAAAAATAGATGCATGGCTGTTACTTTTCTGTAGCAAGCAATTTAATAAAAAGATAAGCCAAGACGTTGCTATTCAGAGGGATGGAATAGTTGAAATTTCAAACTTTTTTATAATAATCTTAGAACTGCAGAGTTGGAAGGGACCCTGTGGATTATTGAGTCCAGCCCCTTTCAAGGAGGCAGAGTGGAGAATCAAACTCCCAACCTCTGGCTCACAATTAACACGCTACAATCCCATTATGGCATAATGGGATTGTTGTGGTGCCTTTTTAGCAGAGATGTTATTTAGCCTGTTTCTCAGTTACTCTTTCATCTTCTCCAGCCTTTCCCTCTTTTTCAGTTCTTAATCTACATCTTTCTAAATGAAACTGAAAGTTATCTGAAAGAGGGGAGGGGGTGTGTACCTGGTCTGTGAAGTCTGTAATAATTTCTTCAGATATTTTAAAATACCTGCACATAGACTGAGAAGTAAGGAAACGGATGGCAAAGAAAGCTGAATCCGAAAGAAAGAATAGAAGGCAGGATGTTGACCAGATAACAAGAGACGGTGAAGGAGAAAAGAGCTGGGAAAGTAAGTTGATGGAGAACCTTGTAACAGGAACCTTATAACAAGAAAGCACTGAGGACAGTGATGAGAATGACAGTTTGGTACTGTGGACATTTGTCCATCAGGGATGAGAAGACAAGTTTAGTATGGCACACACCTGTATTTCAGATCTAACTCCAATCAAATAATCTCTTATAGTTTCACAGAATAACTGGAAGTTTGGTTAAGATCTGTAGCGATGTCTTTACTACCTCAGACCCATGTTGTCTTTCTCTTACAGTATTTGGAAACTATGTTTACCCTGCTCTTTCAACTCCTTCAAGAAGTTAGAGAATGTGACACAAAGATGCATGTTCTTCATGTTCTGTCTTGTGTAATTGAAAGAGTCAATATGCAGGTAAATTGAGAACCTGAATTGTGAGAGCTAATCACAGGAGCATAAGACAAGAAATCATTAAACATGGGGAAACACATTTGCCCTTTCCCAGCATCTGCATGCATTTTTTCCTTATAAGTTTTTGCATTGTTTATCCAACAACCCTTTTAAAATTTTGTCATTTTTGAGAACAAAAAGCTACAGTTCCACCAAACTCTCAGAATCTTTCCTTGGGCACTGCTCACCTTTCTGTCACTGCTCACCTTTCAGTCAGAAACTTCAGGGAATGAAAACAACCTAGCAATGTCTTTCAAGACATTATGGCATTCTAGATTTTGTATAATATCAGTAGTACCCTTATGCATCTGTAGAAAAACTAAATATTCTAATTAATTGATCAGTAATTGTGTGTGGCCCCTGATACTTTTCACTATAGATCCTCCAAAAATAGATGCATGGCTGTTACTTTTCTGTAGCAAGCAATTTAATAAAAAGATAAGCCAAGACGTTGCTATTCAGAGGGATGGAATAGTTGAAATTTCAAACTTTTTTATAATAATCTTAGAACTGCAGAGTTGGAAGGGACCCTGTGGATTATTGAGTCCAGCCCCTTTCAAGGAGGCAGAGTGGAGAATCAAACTCCCAACCTCTGGCTCCACAGCCCAAGACCTAAACCACTGAGCTATCCAGCAGTTCTCATTGATAAAAAATTTTCAAAAGCCATTTGAAAATTACACATTTTGAGAGCTTTTGCAAGGGCACATTCAGCATGTCCCATCGATTTGAATGGGGCAATTCCACCAGATCTCCAGCTTGCCATAGCACAGGTGAATATTGTGCCAAAATTCTGTTCGACTCCATATGTTCTCAATAGGATACTAGCCTTTGATTCTTTAATTCAGTAGAAATGATAATTTTGTGACCATGGTTTGTGGACTGGTATCATCTTGGCAGGTTTTCCTTGATATAAAGAACTTGGACATGGTTCATCAGTCCCTCCATTGTATGGCACTGTGGAGCTGTGCAGCTTCCACAGGCCTGCACAGCTGGCAAGATGTGTAACTCCATCAGCTGCACACATCCCAACTTATTTCTAGCTATCCCCTCTCCATGGAGACCCAGGACTCTTGACCCCTGACTATATAGGCCCTCTTCCAACTCACTGAATTACACCAAATAAGATCCTCCTGCCTCATAGTTTTACATATTTGTTCTGGAAATTATCAATCAATTAAAATTACTATCATTTTGATTTTAATTATAGATACGACCTTATGTAGGATGCTTGGTACAATATTTACCTCTTCTTTGGAAACAAAGTGAAGAACACAATATGTTGAGATGTGCCATCCTCACTACCTTAATTCATCTTGTCCAGGTAATATATCTGAATCTTTTCCTTATTGGCTTCTATAGTATTACTGTCCTTCATAAAAGAGAGAACAAATGTGACTCTGCATCAAATTTTTATAGCATCTCCCAACCCATAACAGCAAATAATCAGTCTGGAATGGGAATCTTGTAGTTCTGTCTAGGATAATCTCTTTTTCCCCCCCAGATACTGAGGTTTGGGACTTGGTGCCAGCACTAAGCCTGAACAGTTTAAGTTTATGGGGTTAGTTGATTCTGTAGAGTGGAAAAGGAGGAAACCAGTCAGTAGCCTTTTTTTCCTTCCTGAAACATACTTATATAATTTAGTGCAGGGAAGGGATTTTTTTTAAACCACTTGAAATGACTATTTCCTCCTGGACACTTAGAAGCTGTTGACATTTTGAATAAACTAATTTAATTTCTTTCCCTGCTGTCCATTTAATTTTTTAAAAAACTTTTCACTTGATACCTAAACATTTCATGTCTCAGCTAGGTCTCCTTATTTCCTTCATGACAATCATAAACCTAATTTCCTAGATTTATCCTCGCTTTTCTTTTGTGTCATTTTGTATAATTGAAGGGTTCTTGTACTTATGTGAAGCTCTTCCATATGTATTAGCTTTTCTTATTATTGTAGTATTTAAGTGAGTGAAAATAGGAGATAGCTCTCTTTCCTCTGTAGTAGAAAACATTGGGCAAAATCCTGCCACAGTTCTTCCAGCATACATAATTGCTGGAAATAATTAGTTTTAATTGATTTAAAGTCACCCGCCCCCTGGTTTCAGTCTCAGTGGCTCTTTAGAGCTCCCTTTTCCCTTGGAAAGACTTTGGGAGCCTCAGGATTTTGGGAGGAGGAGGGTTTTAATAATCAAAAATTGCTACTGGATTAGTATCATCAGGATTGGAACCACCAGCAGTGACCCTGTGGTGATTTTTGACTATTAAACTTATTTTGGCTTATAAGCGGAAGCTAGTTTTTAGCATAATTCTTTCTAATCCCTGGTAGTGAAAGTTATAAGGAAGTATTCTTTGATTTAAAAAAAATTTTACCCATATGTAATAACCTGTTATTTGAGTAGTGGTTCTAGCAATAGGCCCTTCGACTTATATTTTCAGTCTCCAACATTGGAATAAATGAAAAAAACTGATAGTGCACAGATGTAGACTTTGTCTCTTTGCTGCATTTCTCTGGATTTCATGTATAATAATAAGGTATAGTTAAAGTGTAATTTCAGAAAAGCAATGTTATTTAGGGACGGAGGTGAAACAATTTTTTGATCCAAAGAGTATAGTATTCTAATTCTTTTAGTTCTTGGTTCATATCTCAACTCAGCCATGTCTCATCCAAAAACTGCTTATTACAGATGCCTCATATAATCAATGTGTCATATTTTCCACAGGGCCTGGGAGCAGATAGCAAGAACCTTTATCCTTTCCTGCTCCCAGTTATTCAGCTAAGCACTGATGTTTCTCAGCCCCCTCATGTCTATCTTTTAGAAGATGGATTAGAATTGTGGTAAGTCTTCTTTTTTTTCTTCTGTGCTATTACCAAGAGAAAATAAAGAATTTTATATTTTGAGATTTGGCTGAAGCTGGTGTCAAGTCTGCCACTCTGGCCTATTTCCCATTATGAAATCTTCCAGGCTGCTTTCCAGCATGACCTTCTCTGGGTGAGTTACAAACAAAACTCAATGGCTAAAGGAAGAACAAAGCCAGCTGGAGCACATGTCTTCCAGGGAAACAGGATATGAGACTGAATATAATAGAAGAGATACGTCACAGTCCACTTTAAATAGAGCTTGATAAGGAGCTTAGGTGAAGATAGTGCTATAAAAGAGAAAGCATAAAGTCAGTCGTGCGAGTCCACGTTGCATGGAAGTTTACATTAGTGAAGCAGGTTGTACTCTATAGCTGGGCCTTTAACATGTCTGAGATAACAGTATTACATGAAGCAAATGATATGTATCATGGTGTCCAAACAAAGACATGAGATAGAAAGAGAAAGAGTGGAGAAGTCAATGCTCATTTCTCTCACATAGAGATTTAAAATGTGTACATCATTATGCATAATTGTTTGGGAGATTCACGTACTCCTAGTTTTACATTTGGCTTTTCTTATGATCTCTGTGTTGAAGTGATTTGGAACCTGGTTCTTCCATTTCTGGTGCAGAAAAAAGTATGGAGACCACTGTCCTTTCTCCCTCAGAAAAGGAAAAATGATCACTCTGCATGCTTCTTGTTTAAAGAAATATTTTTTTTACTTGACACTTAAGAGTCTGGAGCTACATCTCCACACACCTGCCTTTGGAGAACAGAAAATGGAAGATGAAGGAAAGGCAGCTAGCAGAATAAGCAACAGGAATAAAGGGGCAGTCTCCATGGCATGGAAAAATAATTGTAGCATGTTCAGAATGTGCCACTGGCACCCAGTGTTAAAAGTATAGACATGCAAGATTCTTTCCCTACCACCCAACAATATCCTATGTTTGCAAGTTCTCAGTAATCCCAATAGTTACTATTATTTGCTGCTTCCAAGGTACTGAAAAGTTGGATTGAAATGTTCAGAATCGATTAATAAAGTGGAATTAACATGAAGGGGTTTACAAGTGGATGTGCTTTACTATTACAGTTAAAGAAAATTGTAACTTTTGGAATCTGTGTACAGGACAATTTATTTTCCAGAACCATGTTTAACAAAAAATAAACCTATTTGAGAGAGGGTCCAACTGAGATTAAAATAGATGCCATTCAGTAACCCTTTTCAATAAGTCTTGTATCTCTAATTTGATAAGCACATTAAAATACTTTTTAAATTAAATTCATTTGTCTAATAATAAGCAACGTTGTATATGCCTCTTTTATGGAATAGTAGCTTCTAAATTGTATAGTTCCCAGAGACATAAATATCTGTTGTATAAATATCTGAATACTTCTGATTGCTTAGCTTTTCAACTTTTTAAAATATTGTTTTAAATAATAAATATAAGTGACAATTTTGGAAACTGATGACCTAGCAAGACAACCAGAGTTTTATGGTCTACTTTTAACTGTTTCTTTCAGCTCCTTGAAGTTTTCCAATGTTTTGTTTTATTTTTCCCCTCACTTAGGCTAGTGACATTAGAGAATAGTCCCTGCCTTACCTCAGAGCTGCTGCGAATTTTTCAGAATATGTCTGCTCTTCTTGGTGAGAGATCAGTATTTAAATCTACATATTAACTGTATATATTATTCACATATTATATAACTTTCCATGAAAAGCAGCTTACTGTCCTTCCTTTGTCCTTGTGAACAACTCAGGAAACACAGATTGTAAGATCTGAGATTTTCCTGTATTTGTAAAAGCTGCAATCTAAGAATTTATTATAAACTTTAAATTCTGTTTCTAAGTAAGTAGCATAATATAACTATGCACATAATTGAAAATCATGTAGTTATTAATAACTTTAGCCAGCACCATACTTTTTATCCAAAAATATGTTTCCATGGCTAACATAATTTGGACTTCTTTCCCCCTCCTGCTCCCCCCATACCATGCGCCAAAACCTGCTCCAGTTTTTAAGGGTTTTTTATAGGTCATGCATGGTTGTGGGGAAAGGAAGGGAATGCCAGTATTGTGGAAATTGGTAAGATCCTGCAGAAATATCCCATCGGTTGTGACAAGTATATGGATGGCATCCTAAATTTAAAAAAATCTCATTGCTATTACTTTTAGCTTTTTCTGATGTATCTAATGCTCTGTTCTTCAACAAGAGAAACACATTTGTTGTTTGTTATATTTATTTTAAAGATAAGAGATGCTAATTGGTTCTCTTACCATTGTAACTATTTTGGTTTTGATACCTTTGTATTCATACTACTTTTTTCATTAAATATAAATATTAGGACTCACATACAGTATTTAAGCATATAATTCAATTTCCTAGAGGCTCTACATATCAGTGAGTGGAGTATAGACAAGTGCATTGTGGAGCTTTGTCATAGCGTAGAACCTCTTCCTTCCAGACATTTGTCAGACCTATATAAGAGTAATTAGAAATACATTTAATTCCAAAAATGTAGATTCAGATGTTTTGAGAAATGTAGTTGATCCATTCTTATATCAAGGGTGTGAAGCGAGCATCATATTGTATGGCAAGGAGAATTGTAGTTAACTGCTGTAACAATTTGATCCAGGGAAGGGAGAGATTTCTAGAAGTATAGTTTTGCCTTCTGATTTGCCAGTCATGATCAATAGACCTGCTATAGTACATCAGAAGGAGAACAGAAAAAATATGTGAGAAGATTAGAAACTACGCGTATAAAGTGTGCATGATTAAGATGTTGCCACAGAATGACTATTTGGAAGTTTGCTATTTTGTTAAATTTTTGTTTCCTGTGATTGTATAGTGTTGCAATCATAGGCTGGTTGTTTAGAAATAGAGATGACCACGAACTGTGGTTTGGCCCAGTTTGGCATCACACCTGCACAACTGTTACACAGACACCATGTGCTTCCCTCCCCCCTTCCAGGCAATTCGCCACTCACCAGCAACAGCATGCTTCCCTCCTCTGGTGGCCACCCACTGAGATGAGCAGGTGGGGCAGGGAAGCCCATGGCGCTGCCTCAAAACTGTGAACAACCTCTCCCAGAGGTTTTGTGTAGATGTTAAATAGCTTGGGGGTTATTTCAAACAGAACCCTCAAGGGAGGTCACAGGCCAACAGCCAGGACATCAAACAGGACTCCTCCAGCATCACCTTCCAAGCTTGAATGCCACCAAGTCTTTTCCATGAAAGATGTAAAGCAAAAAAAGCAAAGCATGCTGCTTATATACCACCCCATAGTGCTTCAAGCACTCTCTGGGCAGTTTACAAGTTAATTATGCAGGCTACACATTGATGTCCCAGATGTCCCAGAAGGATACCATGATTGATGGTAGTGAAATCTACTGAGAGGTCCAGCAGAGCCAACATGGACACACTGCCCCTGCATAGGTCATCCACCAAGATCTCCATCTGATAATCAGACCTGAAGTCAGATTGAAATGAATCTAAATAATCTACCTCATCCAGGAACCCTTGTAGCTGAGAAGCAACCACACATTCCAATACTTTGCCCAGGAAGGAAACATTGGAGACTGATGGGTAGTTACCTAATACAGTGGTGCCTCGCATAACGAGCGAACCGTTTAACGATGAATCCGCATAGTGATGCGGATTTTGCGATCGCTAATGCAATCACGTACCGATGTTTCCAATGGCCAAAAATCGCTTTGCGATGATCAGTAAGCGTTTCGGGTAAAGAAAATGGCCTCCCACTCCGTTTTTGCGCCCTGCCCTCGCTTACTGAGGGCGCGAAAATAGCGGCTGCATGAGGGATCTTCGCATAACGGTGAGTCTATCCCCCATAAGAACTCATTAAACGTGTTTTAATGCGTTCTTATGGGGTTTTCTGCCCCGCATAGCGACGAATCCACATAGCGACATTTTTCCTGGAATGGATTAACGTCGCTATGCGGGGCACCACTGTACTATGGGATTAAATTAGGGCTTTTTCAGCAGCAGTTTTAGAATTACCTCCAAAGCATGCTGGAATCCTGCCCTGCTTCAGGGAGACATTCACCACTCCCACTACTCATGTGCTCATTGCTGAAGTACCCAAGAAGGCTGTTTAACAATAAACTGATCGTTTGGCATGTTTCTTCTGATTTAACCTGGCCTTTTCAAAAAAGGAATCCTGTAGCAATTTCTTTTCCAGTTGTTTAATTAATATAAAATGATAGTTGGTTAACTAGGAGAAAAACTTACTGATTTCTCACTATCATTTGAACAAATTAAATGTGATGAGAAGCCTGTCAGACAGTGTTTGAAACACTGATTGCATGGCTGCCTCAGTCATTTGGCTCAAGAACCATGAATTGCTGATATTGTCACTTTCAACGTTTTAGGGATGCTCCGAGTTAGTGCAGCTATTTGAGCAATTTTGACATGAAAGTTTTTCAGTATTTTAATGAGTGCAGCTATTTGAGCAATTTTGACATGAATAGGACTGTTTCTCTTTTCGGCACACTCCTCCTATTACTTGCAGTGATGGTCAGTTCTGCTTTTGTGAGTAAGGATCTTGATCTTTCACAGAAGGAATTGCACCTTTAGGCATTGTTTCTTATTTGCTTTCTTGATGCATGGTGTTTTGGTCATGGTTAGTGTACGTTAGCAGTCTTTTCCTAAAAGTACTCTTAAGTTGCACCTAAGAAAAATGCAGTTTGAAAACAACACAATAGAATAAAAGTTCTATAAAAATAACATGGCAAAACAATAAAAATAAGATAATTGCACAAATTATATCCTAAAACTGTATTGCAGATATTTTTTGCTTATTGAAAGTATATGACCTTTTGCCTTATGACAGGTACTTCTTATTCATGGTTGAGGAGCATATATCTGTAACTGTTCCATTTAAGAAACTTATGAGTAGCACATAAATACTTTCTGGCTCTGTACCATTACCATGAATTGTGGCTCAGTAAAATTATGGTAAAGTGCTATGTGGAAATGTCTTTAAAAATTACACCTTGACAACTGACCTTTAAAAGTCAGGATAAGTGATTTTGAGTACAGCAGACTTTTAAGAAAACTATGCCATTTAGGTGTAGCGGATGATTTCTCTGATTTTATTATTTTGATAAAGAAGCCCTGAATGTTTATCTCACATCTTACAGTAAAAGGACATAGGTCCATAAGTCAAGTGCTGTGTATATTGGCTCAGAGGTAAATCCTATTCCCAGGGGCTTACTCTCAAGTAAAGCAAAGCAAAGCGTGCTGCTTATATACCGCCCCATAGTGCTTCAAGCACTCTCTGGGCGGTTTACAATTTAATTATGCAGGCTACACATTGCCCCCCCAGCGAGCTGGGTACTCATTTTAGCGACCTCGGAAGGATAGAAGGCTGAGTCAACCTTGAGCCGGCTACCTGGGATTTGAACTCCAGGTCGTGAGCACAGTTTTAGCTGCAGTACAGCGGTTTAACCACTGCGCCACGGGGCTCCAAGTAAGCAAGTTAAGTTGCTTCTGAAAGGTACATTTTATTTCCATGATCAGGCTTGAATGTCACTGCTGAGAATAATTGTAAGAAGTCAAAATCTTTATGCTTAATAATGATCTGGATCTAGTCCTGCTGTTCTATGAACAAAAGTCTTCAATTCATAGAAGGGAGTTGGATCCAGCAGTGGTTCCAGATTAACAAGCAGGTATTTTTGGGGGGGACAGGGAAACATGCATTCACATATTAATGTTGTAACTAATACAGCAGTTAAATCAGTATTTGTTATGTTGTCAGGATGTGTATGAACTCTTCTACCCTCTGTTTCATGTCCTTGCTCCTGGAAAAACACAGATGACAAAGATTCCTTCTCTTGGGCAAGAGGGCAGCTGCAGGTGTGAATGAGCTTTAAAGAGGAGGAATTACAGTTTCATTTGCTCCAGCATAGTAACACTTCCTACTAGCATATGACAGAGTATCATGACAGGCAGGGGAGGAGGAAAAGAGGAGGAGTATCTTTGAATTATTGCAAAATGAAAGTTGTGTACTATTTTTCTAATATTCATTTCTAATATTCATGACGTGTAATAATTAAGTAAAATGTTAACAGTGGCTTTCATTTTTGGCAGTTGTGAGGCGGCTCTCAAAAGACCTGATAGTGTTCTCGACAAAGAGGATCTTAAAGTCCTGACAGCTTAAAACAAAGAGGTTTAAATAAGGTTTTAAATATGTATTAGCATTTAAATGAGCTCAGAGCAGCCAGAAGAATGAATGCAGTGCCATTTCAACTTTTTAAAAAACAAAAAATAACTGTAGATCAAGGAAATATTTTCTCTAAATTTGTATAAAAACATTTCCCAAACAGTGAAAATTATTAAAATTTTTATAAGCCTTTTTGTGGATCTTTAGGCAGATTATTGTTTTTATATTTTCTCTGATTCTTCTTACATACATTTTATAGACCTTTCAGCAGATTTAACATCAGGATTTCAAGATCACAGAGCTTACAAGGACAAACATTTGCTTTGTATCTCACAGTGGCCCCACCAGATGCCTCTGGGAGCACACGAGACAGCTAGATATCTGTCTCCTGATGCCTCTCCCCTGCATCTGGCATTTTGAGGTACCTTCCTTTTAAATCTGGAGATTATACATCCCAATCATAGCTTGTTACATGCAATGGACTTTTTCTTCAAGAAAATCCCTAATCCCCTTTTAAAGGCATCTAGTTCAGATGTCATCACCACATCCTGTGGCAAGGACGTCCATAGACTAATAACACACTGGAAGAGAAATATTTTCTTTTGTCTGTTCTTACTCTGCCAATGCTCAATTTGAGTGGATGTCCCCTGTTTATAGTATTGAGTGAGAGGGAAAAGAGCTTCCCTCTATCCACTTTATCCATCCCCTGCATAATTGTATATGTCTCAGTCATGTCCCTCCTCAGGTGCCTTTTCTTTAAAGAGCCCCAAACCCTGTAGCATTCCCTTATAAGGGAGGTGCCCTAGCCCAGGCATCATTCTAGTCGCTCTCTTCTGCACCTTTTTCCTAGTTCTACTATGTCTTTTTTAAGGTGCGGTGTCCAGAACTGTACACAATACTTAGGTGTGGCCTTACCAGCATCATTTTAATTTTAAACATTGTAAATTTTACCATTGTAAAAGAACATATTCCACACTCCATTTTTTTTCAATTTTTCTGGAGAAATAAGCAAAAAATGGCTTTGGGAAAAATGGGGAAAAGACTGCTTTTTCCCAATTTTTCTGTGTGTTTTCCCCCCAGGCCTTCCTATCTCTGTTTCTAATTTCCTCAGGATGACTAATGGGAGGGCAGACTCTAGTTTCATTAGGCTTGGAAAACCCCATGATTCTCAAGTGGAGCACATCTTAAGGGGAATTTTAAATAAGAAGTCTCAAAATCCAATTAATGTGGTTTTGTGTGCTCAGTAACCATGGAATGCTGACTGACTGGGGAAATTTAGGAGATTTGTGAGGTCTGTGTGGGTACGAGTGCTTTTGAGTTAACATGCCTGTCTTGTTGAAACTAGCTAGGAATCATTAGTCAGTGATGAAATACAGGTTTTGAATGCAAAAGGTCAAGGGTTCTATTCCCAGTATGTCTAGTTAAAAAAGGATTAGGTATCAGCAGATGAGATGAAAGATCTCTGGCCTGAGGTTGCTGGTCCAGATAGATAGTGCTTGCTAGATGGCCTGAACTGATTTCCTAACTTTTTCTCATGAAACATCCCCCCCCCCCATAACTGCAAAACAAACATATTTTAGCAGTTCCAGTAGAACATGTCTAGTGTTGGATAGCTGCAAATAGAAGAATTATGTATATCTGCTTTCAGCACAGCAATTGGATTTGGTTTTATTTGGCTCTTTTGGTAAAATTGAGAGTTTCACCTGTAGGCTTTCTCCTCCATGAATTATACACACTGTGGTAGCTGAATGAAAGAAGTTTTGTCTGAGTGAGAATGCTCATTGCACACTGGTGTTGCAATTTAACCATGATATTAGCATGAGATACAGTTAGCAAACAATGTTTGTTGGTGGAACATAATTGCAAATGGCCTTCTGTTAGCCCAGTGAACTGTAGCAGTAATGCTCATATGCAGTGGTGCCTCGCTTGACGAGGATAATCCGTTCCAGCAAAATCGCTGTAGAACGAAATTGTCGCCAAATGAAAGTAAAAATCCCATTGAAATGCATTGAAAACCGGTTCAATGCGTTCCAGTGGGTGAGATACCTCAGCATCAAGCGAAGATCCTCCGTAGGGCGGCAATTTCCCGTGCCTGTAATGCTAGAAATCCGTCCTAAAACACAGCGGGGAGCCATTTTGAAGACCAGACGATCAGCTGTAAAGATCACTGTTAAGCGAAAAATCAGTTCCCGAAGCAGGGAACCGATCGTCGTAAAGCGATTTTTCCCTATTAAAACATCGTTTGGCAATTGCAGAAACTTCATCGTAAAGTGATTTCCTCGTCTAACAAGGTAATCGTCAAGCGGGGCACCACTGTAACAGTCTGTATTCAATTGATACCTGGAACTAATAAAAATGAGATTTCTGCAATTTTGGTTTTAGGCTTTCAAAACCTCCAGTTTTAGGAGACAGTGGCATAGTTTTCAGGTTTATAATGAAATCTTATCAGTTACATTTTGGATGCAGGAGCTTAGGTCTGTAATTTTCATATGAATATAAATAAATACATGTGTGATTTTAGAGTACATTTTAAGAGAGATAATGGAAGAATGGGTATAAATTTAATAAATAAAATAAAATAAGCACATGCAATATACCTACACTTACAGTGCTTTTATGACAGTGCTTTTAGATTGTATCAAATATACTAAAATGATTTTATTCTTGTTTTGTAGAACTAAGTTCAGAAAACCTCAGAACCTGCTTTAAAATAATCAATGGCTATATCTTTTTATCTCCGTCTGAATTTCTTCAGGTATGTATAAGTCAGATCCATTAGCACAGTTTTGCTTTGAATCATGCTAGGTAATCAGACCCAGTGTGGTGATGGAATAGAACTCTGGAAAACAGGGTTTGAATCCGAACTCAAAGGGAGTGGAATTTGTAAAACCAGTCGTTAAAAATCCCGTTTACTTTGGGTTGCTATAACTTGGTTCCAACTTGACAGTACATATCAACAATTAAATAAAACCAATCTTTTGTAGAGATAAAGTAAATTTCCTCTTGAATGCACACCTGAACATGGATTTCAGTGTATCAGGGAAACTGAAAGCAATGCCATTAGGAGGCTAGGTGCTGTTACAAATCTAGACTCCCTGTACAGTTCTGTAGGCAGAATGTACATAGCTGAGACACTGGACTAAGATGCTTCTGTTCTGTTCAGGAATTAATGGTTCTTTCAGAAGAGAATTGATAGTTCCAGAGTAAATGGGGCAGGGAAATTCTTGAAGGGCAGCTACTGGGCATCAGCAATAGTGGAAGGTGACACTGAGGGAGGATTTTTCATAGACAGTAATAGTAATAGAGTAGATCTTCGGTCTAGATGGGTGGGATAGAAATCAAATAAATAAATAAATAAATAATACTGAACTAACTCTTGTTTGTATTATGCAAAAGATGGCAGTGCTAAAACACTTTTAGATATTTGTATTCTAAAAATTATGATGAAGCAATCCAAAATGAAACAAGAAATTGTGCTGGAAGATAAGATTTCTTGGTCAGAAACCCTAAATCATCAATCCAAAAGGAGACTGACTAAAGAAATCAGAAGGCTGAGACTTGGAAGGGCAGTTATGAAGGAACTAGAAAAGATCCTATGATGTATAGATGTGAAAGCTGGAAAACGAAGAAAGCTGGTAGGAGGAAAAATGAGCTCACTCGAAATGTGGGTTTGCAAGAGAGTTTTAGAGATATCACAAATTGTCAGAAAGATAAAAAAGGTGATACCAGATCAAATCGAGCCTGAGCTTTTTCTAGACACTAAAATGGCCAAAATAGAAGCTAAAACAGAGTATTATCCTTTGGACATATCTAGATGTGAAGCTGTGGACAGTGGTCCTGTCAGTGGACTTTCTTGCCTCCCTGAACCTGTGGAGTTTTGCACTGTAAGTTCTTCAGTGGACCTGTGAAAGAGAGAAGCCTCTAAGAAGGGAGGAAACTGGAGGAAAAGAACCGAGATGGCAGGAGGAGGGCATTCAAACAGAGGCCTTGCTGGGGAAAACACAGGAAGATAGCCTTAGCTCTAGGAAAGCAACCCCTGGAAGAGAAAAGAGGGTCCTGGGTCTGCGACAATATAAGGAGAGCCCTTACAAGGGACATGGTAGTCAGGACTGTTGTTCTTGGACTGCGGTTCCCAGAAACTCCAGCCAGTGCAGCTAGTGGTGAAGTTTTCTGGGAATTGCAGTCCAAGAACACCGGAGTTACCCAAGGTGTAGGAACCACTGCCGTAGAGGACGCTAGAGAGGGATACCAAGTGGAAGTAGTATTCCCAAAGGAACCCAAGCACTTGGGGACTGGGAGTTCAAATACAAGGAGGATCCCTGGACACAGGTCCTTTTCAGCGCCTGGTCCTTTGCGATAGTGTAGGCCATCATTTTACCTTGCGTTGATTCCTCATAGAGAGCAGAGTGACACGGCTCAGAGAGCGAGCCCTGGGGAGCAACTGATATTTAGCAGAGATGCTTGCAGAGGCAGCTGCAGTGAGCATGTCAGGCTCAGGACCAAGTGGGATAAGAAGAGAATGAACTCATCCCCACTACCCTCAGTGCAGCATATCATCTGTGCTTACTTGCAGGCTCCCCTGACTCGGTTCAGTGGGGATATTCCCCTTAAGGAGAACTGCACCAGAACTCCTCCTTGTGAAGTTTAAATGGGATGGAGAAGGACTTGGACTGTATTCGCGAAGGCTTTCACGGCCGGGATCTAATGGTTGTTGTGGGTTTTTCGGGCGTAGGTGTAGGAACCACTGCCGTAGAGGACCCTAGGGAGGGATACCAAGTGGACGTAGTATTCCCATAGGAACCCAAGCCACCTGGGGACTGGGAGTGCTGTCCTCTGAAGATGCCGGCCACAGACTGGCAAAACGTTAGGAAGAATAACCTTCAGAACACAGCCAAAGAGCCCGAAAAACCCACAACCACAAGAACTTGGACTCTTTGAACCTTGCCACACATACCCAGGCACTGTTGAAAACTAGTCCAGACTCAGTTAAGAACGTTTCAGTTGTAAATTCCACCCAGTTGTCAAGAGATGGAGCAGGAACCTCCTGTTGACCCAGCCAGGGCAAGCAGGGCTCACACTAGAGATGCAAGATCTGTTGTGCCAAAGAAAGTAGGGCTAAATCAGTGTAGATCCTTTGAATGAATGGGTTTTATAAAGGTTTGATTCAAGTCTCATTCAGGGTCTGTTCTAGTTGAGACTAGCAATTGGATTAATTATTAATTTTTAATACATTTATTATTTTAGGTTACTGTACAACTTCTAAGGCAGTGGAAGACAGGAGGGCCTGGTGTGCTCTGGTCCACGGGGCCACGAAGAGTTGGACAGGACATAACGACTAAACAACAACTTCCAAAATTGAATCATGTTAGAATATCAAAATATAATGGCTGGTTGCAGCAGGTTTAAATTTCTGTGCATTTAGATGTCAGACCAGTATATTTTAATTTGAAATTAAATGTTGGATTTGTTATTAATTATTTCAGATTCAGTAAAAATGGAAATATATACAAGGATAATTATGAATTTTGTATACATTTACTTCTTCTGATTTTCATTATAGGTTTATGCAACTGAGCTCTGCAAATCGTTTTGTGAGATCTTAAAAGATATAACCACTGAGGGTCAGGTTCAAGTTCTGAAGGTAAATAGTTAATCTTCAAATTTGTCCTTAAACTGTTTTTAAATATGTACAAGAATAGCCAGCATTGTGATATGAGCACATTTCTATTATTCCACTGTCACTTAGAAATAATATTGTTATCAGAGAGCTTGGGACATCATTTTTATGAAGCTGAATGACTTTCAAAGCTCTGATATCAGTATTATTTCTAAAGTGAAAAGATTTTTATAAAATTAAATGGTGATGAGAGTGAAAGAGGAGAGTGCAAAAAACGGTCTGAAACTCAACATCAAAAAAACTAAGATCATGGCCACTGGTCCCATCACCTCCTGGGAAATAGAAGGGGAAGATATGGAGGCAGTGTCAAATTTTATCTTCCTGGGCTCCATGATCACTGCAGATGGAGACAGCAGCCCTGAAATTAAAAGGCGCCTTCTTCTTGGGAGGAAAGCGATGACAAATCTGGACAGCATCTTGAAAAGCAGAGACATCACCTTGCCAACAAAAGTCCGAATAGTCAAAGCTATGGTTTTTCCTGTCGTGATGTATGGATGTGAGAGCTGGACCATAAAGAAAGCTGACTGCCGAAGAATTGATGCCTTTGAATTGTGGTGCTGGAGGAGGCTCTTGAGAATCCCCTGGACTGCAATGAGAACAAACCTATCAGTTCTAAAGGAAATCAACCCTGAATGCTCACTTGAAGGACAGATTCTGAAGCTGAGGCTCCAGTACTTTGGCCATCTCATGAGAAGAAAAGAGTCCTTGGAAAAAACCTTGATGTTAGGAAGGTGTGATGGCAAGAGGAGAAGGGGACGACCGAGGATGAGATGGCTGGACAGTGTCTGCGAAGCAACCAACATGAACCTGACACAACTCCGGGAGGCAGTAGAAGACAGGAGGGCCTGGCGTGCTCTGGTCCATGGGGTCACGAAGAGTCGGACACGACTAAACGACTAAACACACACACACAAATGGTGATGTAATGTTCTTGAAGTTAGGCATGTGATTACTTCTATTGCACAGTTTGTTCTAAGATTCTTATGCTTCTAGGATTTATATCTTGAATGTTGTTAAGATTTAACATGCTTATCAGTTATAAAATATCCATGCTTGAATTCTTTGGTAATAAATGAACAAAATATGTGGAAGCTTCTTCTTGTAATTTTAGATGTCAAGGCTGTTCTGATTTTAGTTTCTGGAAGTAAAAAAAGTGGCAACCATATCAAATTCTTCTTCATATCCTTTGATATTTGATCGTCAACTCTCATTTCAGCTTTTTCTTGCCAGTGTATCATAAAAATGATGTTTGCTAGGTTCAAAGTATGGACAAAGGTCCATACAGTCAAAGCTATGGTTTTTCCAGTAGTAATGTATGGAAGTGAGAGCTGGACCATAAAGAAGGCTGACCGCCGAAGAATTGATGCCTTTGAATTATGGTGCTGGAGGAGAGTCCCCTGGACTGCAAAGAGAACAAACCTATCCAATTTTGAAGGAAATCAACCCCGAGTGCTCACTGGAAGGACAGATCCTGAAGCTGAGGCTCCAGTACTTTGGCCATCTCATGAGAAGAAAAGAGTCCTTGGAAAAAACCCTGATGTTAGGAAGGTGTGACGGCAAGAGGAGAAGGGGACGTCAGAGGACAAGATAGTTGAACAGTGTAACTGAAACAACCAATATGAATTTGACCCAACTCCAGGATGCAGTGGAAGACAGGAGGGCTTGGTGTGCTCTGGCCATGTGTTTCTGGCCACAAAAACAAACAGGGGAGGGGGAAGAAAAGAAAAAGAAAGAGGGAAAGAAAGTGAATAACAGGTCTTTGAAGTTATTAGGAGTGACAGTTCACTGAGGTCACTTCAATGTAAAGATGTCATATGCTCCCTGTTCCATTTAACAACCCCAAATGCCTTTTCCCCCACTTCTGCTTTCCTTTTTGCATTTTCTTATTTATTACCACCCCTTGAAGGGTCCTGATGAGAGAAAAATAGTTCTTTGATCCACCCAAGTTGCAATCTCTGGTTTATTTGCATGATTCTGTTCTTGTGTGAAGATCTCATTGTATAATTAGTAAAAGGAGTCTAAAGTCATGTAAACAGTTGGAAGGAATGGAAAACAGTTGTACCAAATTAGAATATAGCATGTAGTTGAGGTATAATGATGAAATATTTAATACTATGTTAGTCCCATAATGGGAGGATTTTCTACAGCTGGAATGGTACAGCTGAGGAGACTGTCTCTCACATCCCTGTACTATATAATGGTTGCATGATGGAACAGAGAAGTTTCTCTCCACCACCAGAAGCAATCTTTAATAGTTTAGGCACTACCTAAAGCAGAGGTCCCTGACCTTTTTCACCCTGCAGACCGGCTGGGGAAGGCGCATGCACAAACGGTGGCACAGCACCATATGCATGCGCAAATGGTAGTGCGGCACTTGTGCAAGCGCACTCATGCACATGCGCAAACAACGCAGCGCTCGCACAGGGTGTGCTGGCATGCATGGGTATGCTCAAATCAAGAGTGTGGGGCTGAGTACATGCGGGGGGCAGGAGGTCTGTCTCTGCAGCTCAGTCCAGCTCAAGCCACGGACCGGCATCGGGCTGCGGCCCAGGGGTTGGGAACTTCTGACCTAAAGCATCAAGGTCCCCAAGCTAATTAAGACTTTGAAAGCCATTGCCCATGCTTTGTAGTCATATGGGATTCACATTAGCAGCCAGTGCAATGTCTTTAAAACCAGTGTAGTTTTCTTCCTTTATGATATTCCTAACAGCGGTCTAGCAGTTACATTCTACATTAGGTGCAGCTTCTGTCATCGTCCTCAGGAGCAGCTCTGTATCCTAGGTGTGCACAGGCATGGAAGAATGTACAACGTATATTGTATTATTCATCCTTTTATTATGATCCCTTTTCATTTCCTGTTTAATTGAACCAGGAATGATACAATAGTTTCATTGTTTTTTAAACAAAATCATATATTTTTTTCCAGGTTGTAGAAAATGTTCTTAAAGTAAATCCAGTTTTGGGCCCTGAAATGTTTCAGCCTCTTTTACCATCTGTATTTCGTGGAATTATTAATGGGGAGGTAAGGTTTTTTTAATTATATGGTATTTCTTCGTAATGTATTTTAGGTGAGTGCTTGAGAAAAATATAAAAGTATCATAAATGGGATAATTATATGCAAATTGCAGTATTTTTCTTTTATATCTAATTATTTGCCTACTCAGTTTTATACTCTTCCAATCATTGCAGCAAAATCAACTTTGATATTTAGAGTAGGCTATAATGTTTTAATGCTTTGGTTGAATACTGCTAGTTCTAATAGAGGAATAATCCTTTTGTATGTGTTGTCTCAGTTAATTCAAATACAAAATATAAATGAGATGCAACTTTTTTATCATTTCTGTGTAAAAAAAAGTGATCATAGTTCCTATTAACATTGTTTGTATCCACATTTTAACATTTACATTATACCATACATAGCATATTCTGTCATGTTTTGGCAAAGGCCTTCATTCAACAGGGACAACATGTGCTTGGAATTACCTCGGATATAGTAGAGGATTTGGGTCTTCTTGAATGCTGGATAAATATTATTCTTTCCAACTATTTTTGACTGAGTAACCTGTTTGGTAGATGGTGGGAATGCTGTAGACATAATATATCTTGACTTCAGTAAAGCTTTTGCTGAAGTGCCTTATTATGTTCTGATTAGCAAGCTCCCCAGGTATGGGCTGGATTGAAAAACTATCTGGTATATACCCAGTTAGTTAAAGAACTGGGCATGTTTAGCCTTGAGAAAAGAAGACTGAGGCAAGATACGATAGCACTTTTCAAATGCTTGAGATAGTCATACAGAGAAGGGACAGGATCTCTTCTTGATCATCGCAGAGTGCAGGGCACATGATAATAGGCTCAAGTTACAGGAAGCCACTCTTCAGTTGAATATCAGGAAAAACATCCTAATTCTTAGACCAGTGTTTCTGTCAATGGAACCAATTACCTCAGGAGGTGATGTACATTCCAACGCTAGAGGATAAAAAAAAAATAGACAACTATTTGTCAGATATAGTTTGACTTGGGTTCCTGAATTGAGCAGGGAGTTAGATTCAATAACTACTTCCAGCTCCATTATTCTATATATTTTTAAAAGTGCAGTAATTCTCATAATGATGAAAGGAATTGGGAGGGGAGGGAGTTTAATCAAGAACATACATTTACAGAAAATTATCCAGATCTTGCCTCAGATATTGTGTCCTGTAATTGTAACAGTATTTTTTGACATTTTTCTCCAAAGTTAAGTCTTTACATTGTAATAGTACTGTAGTTTTCTTGCTTTAAGGATTTTAAATAGCTTCTCTGTTTAACTCACAGCCCCCTTTAAATGTTTTTCTCACTTCAAAGAGCCAATAGTTGATAATAGGAAGTGTTAAGGTAATATAACACAATTCATTTTTCTCCTGTTTGTATCAGTTCAGAATGCAATTCCATACAATCTCTGTACTATAAAGTGTTAGCCACTGAGAATAGCTGAGAATAGCTTCACAGTTGATAGCAGAAGCCCTGGTATATTGGATAAGGTAGAAACCTAGTAATTTGAGGATTTCTAAAACAGAGATGGGCAGGAGAATAATGTGTATGTAGACTGCAACTGATATTCATTCATAATGCATTAGTGATGAGAAATACTCATCACTGATGAGATTCCAAATCAATATTCCTGGCTTGTAGTTCTATTTTCTCTCTGCCAGTGGTGCTGTTGTATAAATAATGTATTCGCAGATTGAAATGAGTGCTTGTTTTCTGACTCCAGTTTCAAGCTTTGAAATTAATTTTATTGTCCAGCTACATAATAGGAGATATGCCTTCCACTCCAGTAACATTTGCATTGGTGGCTCATGATCTGAGTAGCAAGGATGCCCACCATAATATTTTTGAGGAGAGTCGGCCTCCTTGCTCTGACCCTGAGCAACCTGTGATCATTCCACTGAATGCTTATAAATAATAAAATCATAAAATAATGGAATTGGAAGGGTGATAGAGTGCCCTTCATAGATATTTTGTGTTTCTTTTGTGTATGATAGTGGAGATTGGGTAACAAGGTAGAGAGGAGGTGTTCAACTTCTTTATAGTCTGCATTTTACTGACAGCTTTTTTACTGCCATTGCCTAAACTGATTCAGTTAAAAATGTGTAAATTAGCATATGAAAATAGCAAGCAGTTTTATTCAGTTTCATACCATTGATTGTATATTTATACAGTGGCATGAAAGGGCCAAGTTATGGAAGTTGTGGAATTTTTAAAATCATTTTCAGATATTGTGGGATGTTTTTAATATAATTTGTCTTCCTGATGGGAAAACTAAGATCAATTGCCTTTATTTCAGAGATATCCAGTTGTAATGTCTACTTACCTGGGAGTCATTGGTAGAGTCTTGTTGCAAAATAAAGGATTTTTTTCATTGCTTCTGAACCAGATGGCATGTGAGCTTGGCCAGGAGGTAAGTCCTTATATTTTAGGAGTTTAAATTATGTGAAAGCCAGAAATTCACAAAGAATTATGGTTTCCAGAAAATATGTATGATCTCTCCTACTCAGTTTTAGGAGAAGTAATCTTTGTTATAGTGGGAATATAAATGTGCTAATTTATAGTTTTATGTATCTTCTGATCTGAAGAAAATCAAGAAGTATCTGATTGGGCATGTTAAGGTTTGGTGCTAAAAACCTATACAGTAGTACCTTGGTTTGTGAAACGCATCTGTTCTACACAATGTTACATAGTATGGAAATTTCGCAAACCAAAACGCCAATTGTGCTACAAAAAGGGTGGCACTATAGGCACAATGCGCCCTGGGAAAACCTTTTCGTAGTGCAGGGGGGAAAAAGAAAACAATGTAAACTGGGGCTTTATTTCTTGTGGATTTTGGTTCGTGAACCAAAAATTACATAAACTGAGGCGTTCGCAAACCGAGGTACTACTGTATAGATAAAAGTTCCCCTTGACGTTTAGTCCAGTCATGTCCGACTCTAGGGGGCAGTGCTCATCCCCGTCTCTAAGCTGTGAAGCCAGAGTTTGTTGATAGACAGTTTCCGTGGTCACGTGGCCAGCATGACTAGACACGGAACGCCGTTACCTTCCCACCATGGTGGTACCTATTTATCTACTTGCATTTACATGCTTTTGAACCGCTAGGTTGGCAGGAGCTTGGACAAGCGATGGGAGCACACTCCGTTGCGTGGATTCGATCTTAGGACTGCTGGTCTTCTGACCTTGTAGCACAGAGGCTTCTGCGGTTTAACCCGCAGCGCCACCACATCCCTGGTACTACTGTAGTTCATTTTAAAAAGACCCAATAAATGAAATGGATTGAGTCAATAAAGGAAAACATGGCCTTGAATTTGCAAGAACTGAGCAGGACTGCCAATGATGGAACCTTTTGGAGGTTGCTAATTTGTAAGGTTGCTATAAATTGGAAGTGCCTTGACAGCATGTAACAGCAGTAATGGCTCTTAATGTTCCCTCTAAGCTGCACAGCAGGGTGCACCTGCAGACAGTGTTGCTGCCCATTTGGTTCTCATCATGGCCAGAGCTTTGCATGGGGTGGGGTTCCACTGGTGAAAAATTCAATTTTCCACTAGCATTAAGGGGAAACCCTACCCCACATGCATGGGGTTCCGGCCATGACTGAAACAAAATAGATAGCAACATTGGCTGTGGGTGTATCGGACCAGTCACATAGCTTAGAGGGAATGTTGATGGAACCAGGTTGAGTGCTTCAGGGACAGAAAATGATGTCACACCAAACTTACAGCTTTATATGTGGGATGAAATCCAGAGGCAAATACAGCCATGTGACTTAGTGTGAGAAGTAGGAGGGGCATGCCCTCATGTATGCAAGATGTATTTCCGAAGGTAGTCTTTTTGGGGCCCTGGACCTTACAGGTATTTTTAGAACTGTGAGAATTTGCTGCTAGAAGAGAATGGTGGGGAAAAAACCCATGCATCTGAAATATCACAAGCTATACCTTGGAAGCACAGTATATTTTAATAATTATTCAGTGGATATGTTTGGGGCTAGTGAGAGCCCCCTTTGCCTGACCATTGGGCTTCCCCTCTTAGCATGGCAGGTAGCAGCCTTTCCCACATGCAACTCTCCAATGGATTGGAAAGGCAAGCACTTTTGAAGCAAGTGTTTTGTGTGAATGCTCAGTCACTGTATAATAACTGGCTAGTTAATTTTTTCAGTGGTTCTGTCTTGGGAAATCGGTTTTACACAGCAGGGAATGTCCTTAAAGATGAATATTCAATGCTGCTGAACAATCCCAGAATAACAGAAGCAGCAGCAATAGATCTGAGATGCTTTTGTTTTTATTCACTTATTACTTAATAAATATGCATGAACCTCTGATAAAATGAAATATACATTAGGTGAACTTCTGGCAGTATATGTCTGAAAAATTCATATATAATAAAGTTCAGGGTGGTGTATACACTTTTGTTAGGAATTGAACAACAACAACATACAATTGTCATATTTATTACCATGGTCAATACTTAAACTCAAACACCATTTATCTTTACGTATCCATATCTCTGTGTTTATGATCATTGCAATTATACAGTTTGCTGTATTTTTTAGAATCCAAGATTGAAGGTTAACTTTGGCACTGTAACAAGAACTTCAATCTAGATATTTTAGTTTTTAATTTTTATTCATGGATAGTGGACTGGCTTAACTGCATGTTGCTTATGAAAATGGTTTTTCACTTTTTTCCCAGCCAAACCAGCTTCTTGGTCACATGATTGAAATGTGGGTTGACCGCATGGATAATATAACTCAGCCAGAGAGAAGAAAACTTTCAGGCTTGGCTTTACTTTCTCTTCTGCCATCCAATAATATGTGAGTGAAATTTATTTTAAGAAAATAAAATGTATCAAAACATAAAAAGTTAGACGCAGAATTTAGGAGTAGAAGGGAAGCCAATCATTACATTAGTTGAGAATCCAAAAAGCATTCATTCAGGCATTACTAAAGTCTGCATTCTGAACATGCTTACAGCTACCCCTGCTTATATCTCTCCTTTCATTACATTCTTTGTGCCTTCATTTTCAAGTCTAAAAAAGACAGATTTCCTGTTTATCGATAGGCCCTAACTGTGCAAATACCTATATTTTCCAGGATATCTAGAACCTCTCATTTTCAGATTAGATGCTAAAAGTGTATATCTCAACAACAGAGGAGACAGCGCTTGACATTCCTTTCTACATGTGTTCAGTGTTATCTTTAGTAACACTTGCATGGTATTCAAGTTGTATCACAATCTACTTTTTCAAGTTGTATCACAATCTACATGTTCAAAGGCATAGGGCTATGCATGGTGTTTTGAATTTTGACTTCTTGCTACTACTGATATATAAATATCTAGAATATTAGCAACAATTATTCATTCATTTGCCAAATAAATAAAGGGTTCATTTAGTTAGTATTATCAAATGATATGGAATCCAGTCTCTTTCATGCATGCTTGAGTTTTGTTGAAATCAGAGAAATGTAGTTATGTAATCCTTTTAACTGGAGGAAGAATGAGTCATGTTGCCTTCCTCTGGATTAAACCAGTAACATGTGTGGTAATAAACATTGTGTTCCATGAATGAATGTGTTCTTTCAATCCATGGAAAGGTTTGATCCAGCAGTGCAATACTGGCAGAAAATGGAGTAGGGCGATTTTTGCCAGTGTCTCCCTTTTGAACCGACTGAACCATTCAAAAATCTACTGTCCAACGTCCCCCGAAACTTCCAGACAGATTTCTGGAAGGCACAAAAAGTTGCAAAAGGAGGGCAAACGGGGAGAAATTGACTACACTGCCGGGAGCTAAGCTCAATGTAGGTGACTTATTTGGTCAAAATAATTGTGTTAAAAAATAGTGAGTTTCAATTTAGAGAGTTGCTAAACCGAGTATAATCTGATATTTCAACTGAGCTTTGGAAAGGCCATTTTAGGGAGCTTGGAAAAGAACCAGGTAGGATCACATTGGTGAAAACTCTGGTCTACAATGCTGCGTCTTACTCTAGCTCAACCTAGGCCACCTCAATGTCAGCAAGGAGCCAAGAGTGTTCCTCATTGTTCCGTTCAGGATGGAAGTAAGAACATTTTTCAGAATCCTGCTTGTCTCTGAAAAGGCCAAAGTGGTCAGCAGGAAGGAAGAAGACCATTATGGAGGACAATTCTTGGTACCAAATCTGCAGTAGCAGCAAGCCTCCAAAATGGTGTGAACCTCTCCCTTCATTTCTCATTATAGCTATCATCACATTACCTGAGCAGAGGTCCTCCATAAGTTTAAAGATTGCAGAGAAGGACTCAGTAACGAGAAGAAAAGATGGATACTTTCCATTTCCACTGGCAGCAGATCCAAATTGAGATCCAATATATACATCAGAAATGTGATCTGGAAAAAGTCAGGGATGCAGAGGCAGACAATGGACAAGTTCATACTATCACTTTTTTCTAATGACCCTGTGTAATCAGAAATGTGCAACAGCTGTTTGGCATCTACTTGAAATTCAACCAATAGAAACCTGTGCCAGTGTCATACAGTCACTCTATGTTCCATATTTTTCTGCTTCTCAATGGGGGGAAAAGGTATATCAGCAGTGTCCTGGATTTCCAGTTACAGTGGGGCCTCTACTTAAGAACTTAATCGGTTTTGGAATGGTGTTCTTAAGTTGAAACGTTCTTAAGTTGAAGCCAAATTTCCCATAGGAATGGACTGAAAACCAATTAATCCATTCTGGCTTTTTTTTGGTATGTAGAGGTGCGTTCGTACATTGAAGCATCAGTTCCAGTTCCCATAGGAACTAATGCAAAGCTGGTTAATACGTACTCTACCACTAGGGGGGGAATTTTTTTTAACCTAAGATGACTGAAGGTTAAAAAAAGAGCAGGAAAGGTTTTTTTTTTTTTTCCTGTTCTTATCTTGGATTTCTGTTCTCAAGTAGAAGCAAAATTTAGCAAATGGAGCTGTTCTTAAGTTGGATTGTTCTTAAGTAGGAACGTTCTTAAGTAGAGACCCCACTGTATCCGGAAGTGCTTTGCCAATAAAAGCTTCAAGATGGAATTTCTGAGATGAAATGATACAAATGTTTGTGTTAATTACATTCCTGAGTAACAAGGTTTCTAATGCCATTATTTCTAAGTTCAAGGTATATAGTATATTGTGGGCTAGAAGACTCCTGGGCACATCATAGCTCATTTACTCAGAGGAACCCTATTCCTGGTCACATGCCCATCATGCCTTGGTCCATGACTAATGTAAGCGGCAGCTTGTTTATTAGTAGCATATCAGTATTGCACTTACACCATCATGAGTAAATTAAAGGATTCTGTCTATAGATCATTAATATACTGACTCAAAAAGAAACCCATTCTTTTCCCAATCTTCTAGTACATCTCAAAATTCTAAAATGTTCTCCAGAAGACTATTATCTGGTACAGTGGCTAAACTGCAGTACAGTATTGCAATCGGCACTCTGCCCATGACCTCAGTTTGATGCCTACCAGCTCAGGTAGATGGCTCAAGGCTGACACAGCTTTCTGTCCTTTTAAGGTTGGCTAATTAAGTTCCCAGCTTGCCGGGGTGGGGGGTGAGGAATGCAATATGTAGTACACGTAATTAAATTTTCAGTTGCACAGAGAGTGCTTTAGGAGATAGTATATAAGTAGCATGCTTTGCTTTTGCATTTCTTCTGTTCCAAGAAACTTCCCAGATAATGTTTCTGTACCTCGTTCACTTCAAGCCATGCGTAGTAGCTTTGTTTCAAGATTTCTGTCTCACCATGCATAAGGAAGCAGACATAGTTCTTTGGAGGTGGTGGATGCCAACTTTATTTTCTAAATCTAGATCTAACCTTTTTACAGGTTAGGAGTATTTAGTATGTTCCAATGTATCAGCCAATAAAATGGCAGAATTTTATTCCATCATTCTACAGTTTCAAAATAGTATAAAATAATAATCTAAAAACCTTTTAAAACACCCTTAAAAATACAATACCTAAGATTATTGTTACTGTTATATCTCAGGAAGAATCCACCTATAGTAATTTACTCATTTGAATGCAATTATCACTTTGGTGCTCTTTGTTGTAGCACATTGTTTATGCTCCAAAAAAACCCCACACACAGATAGAAAGATAATGCTTCAGCCAAGCTTAAACTTAAGTAAGAAGTTTGTAGCAGCACGCTTTAGTCATTTTACATTGTACGTAAAGCATGGCATTTGTTTTAGTAATAGTTGTTTTTGATTCATGGGTATAACACTCTCTGAAACAAAAGACCAAAAGAAATTCATTTCCTTCCAACAAAAATTATTTCTAAGTGTTGTAAACATACTGCATATTTCATTGCTCATTATGTTTACATTTGCTTAATTATGGGCTTTCTTTACAGTATAAAATCTAAAGCAGATATGTAGTATATTACCATATTGCTGACATATTTATCTCACTGAATTTTAGAGGAATACATTGTAGAGATTTTCTTTCCAACTACTTCAGAACTGCAGATAAAATGACTTCCTGTCTCTCCATTTCCTGTATCCATGGTAACTTTATTTTAACTAGTCATTGTAGAGGAGCCAGTGGGAAGAGTAGCATTTCCTGTAGGAACAGTTGCAAAATCTGCGACAAAATATGAGAAACTAGAATGTTATCTTGAAAGTTGCTGAAATAAATTCAAATATATGAATAAATTAGTCAGCCAGGTAAACTGAAGAAGAAGAAATTTTAGCTGAAAGAATGAGCATCACATTCTGGGTGAGAACAATTCTAATATATTTTAAACTGGCAGTATTGAAAGTGAAATTTAAAGAAGCTACTAGTGGCAGGAAATTGATGTTTTCACATATAAACAACAGTATTTTCTTTAGAATATAAGCGGGATGAGTAATTTTAAAAAGTTAATGTTAGAGTTAGTTTATACCTTAACTGTTGATATTTAAAACTACGTTTAATCTTACAGTTGGTCACTTGTAAACAATGAATTGTAGGTACTGGATGTAAAATGAGTTATGTAGCAAACACTGGAACAACAGTGATATAGAGCATCAGTTGTAGGCTGTAAAAAGTACAAATAGCATTACAGTGATGCATGCTATTAAAATAACGAAACAGGATAATTTTGACTAAGAATTTTAAAACTTTTTTTTTCCTGATAGCATAACCAGAGATGACTGGGAGAGTCAGAGCCTGGGACATGTATCAGCCTCAGTGTCTTGGGCCATTTTGGCAGATTTTAAATTGCCTACTTCTGCTGCTAATCCAAAAGGATATACTTTGCTGTCCATCTGTTTGCCAGCACTGTACAGGCAGACAAGCTGACTGCCGTAATTCAGGCCTATCCTCTATTCCAAAGAATTTCTCACAAAATACTATATTTTTATATTTAAGTGGGAATAATATATCGTACATAAATCCAAATGAACTGATCAACCTTCACCAGCTTGCTGTGTTACACTTGGATAATTCTAGTATTTTATATGTGTACCCGAAAGCATTTGCTAAATTTAAGAAACTGTGGTACCTACATCTGAATAATAATCAAATAAAACACCTGGATGGCGGAACATTTGAAGGACTTTCAAATCTTCATTCTTTATATCTGCAAAATAATGAAATTGCTTTTGTTCCTGGAGGATTATTTAGTGATCTCACTTCAGTTCAGTATCTAATGCTTCAAAGCAATCATCTCAGCATCCTTGGTAATGGCACTTTCTTTGGAATGATTAGACTTCAGATTCTTAACCTAGCTAACAATAATATTTCATGGATATCACCTGCAGCATTTCATCACCTTGACAGCCTTACACGTTTATTCCTTGGAGGAAACAGTTTAACACATGTGCCATCAAATGCCCTTGTGGTGTTGAAAAATCTTGAGAGACTTTCATTGTCGCTTAACCCTATTGTTTCAATACCTCCCTTTGCATTTGAAGGACTTGACAGCCTTCAGTATCTGTCCTTAAAGAGTGCAAACATAAAGGCAATCAGTGTGAATGGTTTTTCAGGGCTGAAGAATCTTAAAAAGTTAATTTTGAGCAATAATAAGTTAGAAAGTATTGATTCCAATACCTTTGGATTGTTGGATAATTTAATGTATCTGCAACTTGATAGAAACAAAATAATCAATATTGCAGATGATACTTTTGAAAAAATGGGATCCTCTTTGAAGATACTTAATCTGGCATTTAATAATCTTACATCTTTGCATCCTAAAGTGTTTGAGCCTTTGGAATCCTTAATTCATTTACAGGCAAATTACAATCCTTGGAATTGTAGCTGCAAAATGTTTGGGCTAATTAAATGGCTAGCATCTTCTCCTGTCTCTGTAAAAATTCAGTGCCAAAATATTGCTAGTTTGCACGGAAGGCACCCAAATTACACTAAATGGGGTTCATTTAGAAACTGTTTCAATGCTACCAGAAGTCCTGAAATAATCAACAGTGTTAAACCAGCAGGTACCAGCACCACCGCTTTATTGATGGCATGGCATAAAAATTACACAAACAGTACAACCTATGAACATTTGACTATTCATGCAAACACAGTGACTTTATGGACAGAAGCATCTACAACATCTAGTCAAAAACTTTATGAAGAATATTCCAATGGGAACCTGGGACAAGCAGCTTCAATGTTAACTGCACAAATACCAGCCCAGAATTTCCTTGTGAATTTGACCATGGAAGAAAACAGTATATCTCCTCCAGAAGCTGCTTCTGTGTCGTTTAAAACGGCTTTAATCTGTGCACAGCAGGTTGAGAAACTAAATCATGCCTTTGATACATTATTAACTTTTTTTATTTTGGCTTGTGCTGTGATCATCTTTTTGAGCTACAAAATCATTCAATTTAGGCAGAAGCTCAGAGTGCAAAAGAACAATGACAATGGAATAGAATACTATGGCTTTTATCAAGCTGGTAGCTACAGTGTAGCTAATTCAACTGGACATGCACCTCAGAATCCACTGGGAGGTTCAGAACCAGAACACAGTCAACTTTCTAAACCAGCACCACTGGAAAATCAAGCACAAGTCATCTTGTTTGAACATTCCGCATTGTAGTATGCTTGGCAGGATTTGGGACCTGTGTGTGCAAAATGATGTTTTATGAATATGGTGTTTTATGAATAATGGTTTCACTGCTGATATTTGGAGATGGGGATCTCAACCTGCTTTTCCCCTTCGAACACTGGGATTAGTTTTTGTCATTTCAATGGCTGCATTTTTATATGATCCTTAATTTTATTCTATGTTATGATGCTTCTGTTGTATTCTTTCTGTGGAAAACAAATATTTTCAGTGGAGATTTTTTTTAAGCTTACGTAGTACATGTAAATTTATAGCTGATTACTAACTTTGCGTTGATACATGTTCAGTGTACTTCCTACAACATATACTAAATACTTCATGTAAAGCTCATAGCCTTTTCATATATTCATTAGTTTTAAATGATAGGTGCAATATAAGACAATATGCAGATAAATAAATAAAGCTGCCTTACTATCAGGCCCATGAAATGTCATCATTTTGTGGGACTAAGTAGTTGTTCCTGAAAGATCATGAAATGATACCACTAGTGAAATGCATCATGATTTATCTGTAGAGCACAATAGTTAACTGAGTTTGAGATGACTTTTATCATTAGCTGTAGTAGATAGTCTTCAGAAGAAAAAAAATATGTTTAAATATATAAAATGTTTGTGTATTCTTTCATACATTTTTGCCAGTTGTGTATGTGATGCTAATTCAAGAAGTTCCTAGAGTGAAATCTTTCCAAAACAATTCATGGGAAGTGATTTTTGCTAGTGCCTCCTTCTCTTTGTACCGATCACAATACTGTTCCATAGGATTGGGATGCCTTCAGAACAGTGTAAAGGTAAAGGTTCCCCTTGACAAATGTCCAGTCGTGTCCAACTCTAGGGGGCAGTGCTCATCCCTGTTTCCAAGCCATAGAGCCAGCGTTTGTCCGTAGACAGTTTCTGAAGTCACGTGGCCAATGCGACTAGACACTGAACGCCATTACCTTCCCACCGTGGTGGTACCTATTTATCTACTCACGTTTTTACATGCTTTCAAACTGCTAGATTGGCAGGAGCTGGGACAAGCGACGGGAGCTCACTCCATCGCATGGATTCGAATGATTTTACGACTGCTGTTCTTCCAGCCTTGCAGCACAGAGGCTTCTGCGGTTTAACCTGCAGCACCACCACGTCCCTTCAGAACAGTGTAGTATATTGCAATGAGAGCTACAGAGAGATGGGGGAATTGATGAAGCTTTCATTCTTGACCCACATCAGGAAGTCTCTGCTCAATTTCGGTCTCTTCCACAAATGAAGAAAGTTCTGTCATTTGCAGAAGATCATGCCTGAATCTAAACCTTTGTATTCTAAGTAATACTGTTGCATATGTTTTACATGTTATTGTACCATAAAAGAATTCTCTGAGGTTTGATTTATTTGTTGCATATCTTTTTAATACTAAACTGCAGCTGTGGGTGAAAAATATTGCCAGTGACCACTACAATATTTCCTCAGTTACAGTGGTGCCTCGCAAGACGAAAATAATTCATTCTGCGAGACCTGCCGTCTTGCAAATTTTTTGTCTTGCAAGGTGAGTTTTCTCATAGGAATGCATTGGAATTTAATTAATGCGTTCCTATGGGAATTTTTTTTAAAAAAAGTCACTTATCAGGTAGGTAGCTGGGGAAGCACCATCAGAGGACTTGCGGGGGTTCCCCACAGCCGCGATCGCCGCTTTTAGAGGTTCCCTCGGCAGTCCTCTGTTGGTGCTAGGCAAGCCTCTGAAGACTTCCCCAGCACCGTTTTTGAATTTCCCATCCTTTTCCCCTTCCTTTTTCTGTTCGGAGGCTTCCTGAGCACCATCGGAGGCAAGCCTCCAAACGGAAAAAGGCAGGGCAAAAGGGTGGGAAATTCAAAAATGGTGCGGGGGAAGTCTTCAGAGGCTTGCCTAGCACCATCAGAGGACTGCCAGGGGACCTCTGAAAGCGGTGATCGTGGTTGCGGGGGATCCCCACCAGTCCTCCAATGGTGCAGGAGAAGCCTTCGGAGGCTTGCCCAGCACCACTGGAAGTGCAATGAGACTAGCAAATTAAATGCATGTACATTCCAGAAAGCCAGAGAGTTCCAGAAAAACATCTACTTCTGCTTCATTGACTATGCAAGCCTTTGACTGTGTGGACCACAGCAAACTATGGCAAGTCCTAAAAGAAATGGGCGTGCCTGACCACCTTATCCATCTCCTGAGAAACCTATATGTGGGACAGGAAGCAACAGTTAGAACTGGATATGGAACAACGGATTGGTTCAAAATTGGGAAAGGAGTACGACAAGATTGTATACTGTCACCCTTCTTATTTAACTTATATGCAGAATACATCATGCGGAAGGCTGGACTGGAGGAATCCCAAGCTGGAATTAAGATTGCAGGAAGAAATATCAACAACCTCCGATATGCAGATGATACCACTCTGATGGCGGAAAGTGAGGAGGAACTAAAGAACCTTGTAATGAGGGTGAAAGATGAGAGTGCAAAAAACGGTCTGAAACTCAACATCAAAAAAACTAAGATCATGGCCACTGGTCCCATCACCTCCTGGGAAATAGAAGGGGAAGATATGGAGGCAGTGACAGATTTTCCTTTCTTGGGCTCCATGATCACTGCAGCTGGAGACAGCAGCCCCGAAATTAAAAGACGCTTGCTTCTTGGGAGGAAAGCAATGACAAACCTTGACAGCATCTTAAAAAGCAGAGACATCACCTTGCCAACAAAAGTCTGAATAGTCAAAGCTATGGTTTTTCCTGTAGTGTTGTATGGAAGTGAGAGCTGGACCATAAAGAATGCTGACCGCCGAAGAATTGATGCCTTTGAATTGTGGTGCTGGAGGAGGCTCTTGAGAGTCCCCTGGACTGCAAAGAGAACAAACCTATCCATTCTAAAGGAAATCAACCCCAAGTGTTCATTGGAAGGACAGATCCTGAAGCTGAGGCTCCAGTACTTTGGCCATCTCATGAGAAGAGAAGACTCCTTGGAAAAGACTTTGATGTTGGGAAAGTGTGAAGGCAAGAGGAGAAGGGGACGACCGAGGATGAGATGGTTGGACAGTGTCATCGACGCAACCAACATGAATTTGACACAACTCTGGGAGGCGGTGGAAGATAGGAGGGCCTGGCGTGCTCTGGTCCATGGGGTCACGAAGAGTCGGACACGACTAAATGACTGAACAAACAAAACATACATTCCAGTAATAAATCACAGAATGTGTTTAAATGCAAGATAAATGTATGAGGGAAACGATGTGGTATGAGAGACATCTTTTGCCACTTGGGGGACCATAATTTGAGGGAACATTCTCTTGAGAACCAAAGATTTTGGGCTGTTTTCCATCCTCAGATGATTCATATGTTATACTCAGCAGGGCCCAGGCCAGCTGTCAGTGCCTTGATAGGCATGTACACACCTGGCCAGAGTCCTGTAGCAAATGAAGAGAAGGATCTGTGATACCTTTTTAGATCACTAAAAAAATCAAAAACACAAGCTAAGCTTCAGTTACACACTAGTCTATATGCAGCTGGGCATTATAGGTCTGGGAGTGGTGCAGAAGAAACAACGTTCCAAAATCTATGGTTGGATGTACAGACTAGGTTCCTTGTTCAAAGCAAGTTCCAAGGCAGAGGCTGCAGAAACAGCTTGGAGGAGATGGTTGATTTCAGATTTTTCTTCTGGTGAGTTGATTAGACTATTACCCCCAGTCTTGTTAACTAAAAAGTTGTCAGCCACTCTGTAACCCACCCCCCTCAATGTCCCTGCATTGAAATACATGGCTCCTTTTTGGCTAGGAGCTTGGCAAACCCCATATTAGGAAAGCTGGGATAAAATCTGGTCTACACTCTCTAGATAAGCCATCTGTAGCCAAATTAAAAGTTTTACCTAGTGCAGGGGTTAGCAATTAATTTATATAGGGGGCCACATGAAAAATCTGAACTGTGTTCGGGAGCCGAACCAACTTTACTTAAAAATAGAATGAAACAGTGATGTTATGATTGTTTTTATTTAAAACTTGTTAATCTTCACAAATACAGTGGTGCCTCACATAGCGACGTTAATCCGTGCAGCTAAAATCGCTGCTAAGCAATTTCGTCGCTATGCGATTTTTAAAAGCCCATAGAAATGCATTAAAACCTGTTTAATGCGTTCCTATGGGCTTAAAACTCACCTTAAAGCGAAGATCCTCCATACGGCGGCCATTTTTGCTGCCTCTTAAGCGAGGAATCTGTCCCTACACACAGCGGGCGGCCATTTTTTCCCTGGCAACCATTTTGGAACCGCCGATCAGCTGTTAAAAAAATCATCGCTTTGCGATGATCGGTAAGCCAAACAGGGAACCAATCATCGCAAAGCAAAAAAAAAATCCATTTAAACCATCACAATGCGATCACTTTTGCACCCGTTAAGCGAGGCACCACTGTACTAAAGAGGTTTTTTGCAGTATGTTAAAGATAAGCAACTGATCAACTTAAGCAAAAAGCTATAAATGGTTTTGATGTTCAACTTGTTCAGTGAGAGAAATCCAGTCTGTCTTGGGCTTGAACAAGTGCTTGAACACCGGACTGGAGCGACGACCCGCAAGCCAGCCAGGAGTGGCTTTCGGGCCATATGTGGCCCTCGGGCCGCACTTTGCCCAGGTCTGACCTAGTGGTTGGAGGAAGAGGTCCTGAGTAGAAATAGGCATTTGTGTTTTAATAAAAGACTGAAAACACAAGAGACTCTCTTTCACTTTCCTTTTCTTTCACTGATTCTAGAAAGAGACTCTCTAAAACAAGAATATTCATATTAATGGGAGAGGAGTACAGAAATGTTTTGGGCTTTTTCATGTTTCACTTATTCATGTTCTTTCCTTCACCCATTCTCTGTCAAATTGCTAGGGAATTTTTTCACCCAGTAGCATTGCAGTTGCTGCTGCCAGCAGCCAATCAAAATGTCCAGGAGGGAAGAGTGGGCTTTTCAATCTATAAAAGGGGTTGGATTGGTTGGAATCCAGTGAAAAATGCTCCATATTTCCTTCAGCCATTCACTGAGAGCTCCTGGTGCCTTCCATCTTGGATTGTGCCACCTGCCTGCCTCTGTACCTCCCCCTTGAGTCCTTTTCTTTTTTTTACCTTTTTTCTTCATTGGGATTTTCTCCAATTTCTTTTATTTTTGCTGCAGCCACCAGGCACCTTGCCTGTGCACCTCCTTGGGGTCTCCCCAAGTTTATTTGGGGATTTTCCCCATTGACATTTGGATTGACTAATAGTGCTTTTGAAACTTAAACCGAATGATCCGAGAAGCGATTTGCCCCTGCTATCACTCAGTATATTTTCATAGTCTTGGGATCACAAAGAGTCGGACACGACTTAATGACTAAACAACAACAAGGGAGTGCAAGAGAGGATACTGTAGATACACAATTCTCAACTGAGAAGCCCTGGCACATTTGAAGGGGGACACGGACTGGAAACAGTTCTTCACATACCACCTTATAAGGTTCGTTGTGTGACTTGTACAATCCTGATTTGGTCTGTATTTCTTTCATATTGTGTATATTGCTGTGGCCATAGAAAGGTTGAGTGTGGCTGCTGTAAATCATCTTGACTGTTGACACTGATTTTGTCAACATTCAGATTGCCTTTTACTATGTAAAGCTTGACATTCTTTTTCCTGCTGGCATTAGAGGAACAATATTGCATAGCAATGTTGGGTCATTTCCTGGCATTTTGAATTGTAAATATAAAAGCAAAATATCCCACAACTGTTTGTTGAAGTATTGAATATTTTTACAAATAGCCTTGAAACAAGACTACAGTACACAGTAATTCAGCTTATTTGGAAGAAAAGACACATTGAATCCATGCTGATAGTGCCACCTTTTGTCAAAGATGCTCATTGACTACTTCCTCACAGTAGCATTACACAAACCCACCCTTCACTTTTCCCAGTCAAATTAAATTCTGCTAATCAACACCATTAGATATTAAAATAGCAGTAGAAAAATTCTATACTATCATGAAGTGTCCTGGTGATGATTTGGGACTTGCCAAGGAATTCTCTATGCAATACAAGTGAGCTTATGATAACTGCTTTTTAGTGTCACACTTAAGTGAAATTAGCATGTAACCATGCTCAAATTACAAAGGAGTAGTGAGAAGAAAACCTGTAAACTTTGTGCCATTTTATTATGATCAAGATTGGGTGGAATAGTGTCTGCACCTTATTAAAATTATTTAGATATTTACAGTATACAGATCTTTGTTTATATCAGTGAATAGTAGAAGTTGATTTTCATTTTAAATGTAATTCAGTTATGGCATTTTAAAAAACACTCTTTAAATGCATGGAATGTGCTCCTTTTAGACTGAAGATTCTGGAGGGCTCCATACAGTGCACAGTTTTCTGTGATTCCCTGATATGCTGCTTGAGGAGAAAGGATTAATTCCAGCTCCTCTCCCTTTTTCCAGTTCTGTGATCAGCACTGTCAAAACTGACCATACCAAACATTTTCGTGAGGCAGATATTTGTGGTCTGTTGTTTTACATTTGAAATGGGTCATGGCATTACCATAAATGTCTTTTCTCATTTCCCCTTTGGCAAGTTGTGCAGTTATCAACAAAGTCGAAACTATATAATGTAAACCAGTAACTTTCAGAAATTAGATTGTTCTTGGTTCTGTGGTATGCTGCTTTCAGTGGGCTTATTTGTGTCCTTAATGGGGGGTGGGCATCATGCAGCCATTAGCTCCAGTTGGGCCCACCAGGTTACTTCAGAACATAGTTTTACATTTTTAAAAAATTGCTGTAAACAACAGTGAACTACTGAACAAGTTCAAATAAGGTTATATGGGTTTAAAATAAGGAGGGAAAGCAGGTGACATTAACACTGTTTCTATTCTTTTTCTCTCTTTTTTGTGCACCATCACTTTTTTGGTGTTTTTTGCCAGGGAGATGGCTTTCTTTGGTGGGAAGTCCAGCCATTTGGTTCTTGGACAAACTGGTATTTGGCCCTCAGCTGAAATTGCCCACCCTTGTGTTGGACCATGTAAATAAAGTTTTACAGGCAAACATTTAAAGGCAGTTAAATAAATTTTATGTTTAGCAAGTACATCTAAATCATTTTTCCTGTTCTTTTCCAGTGTTATCCAAGATAAATTTTGTGGTATTATAAACATTTCAGTAGAAGGATTGCATGATGTCATGACTGAAGATACAGAAACACGAACATTCAAAGAGTAAGTAGAAAAGTTAATTTTTGTCTCATGACTCCATATGTTACACTCCCAAATGTACTAATACTTAAGCTCTTTGGTTTGTTAATGGAGAAAATTAGTATGTTTTTATATTCTTTTGTACATGCATATATAATAAGTACAGTGGTGCCTCGCATAGCGACATTAATCAGTGCAACAAAAATCTCTGCTAAACGATTTCGTCGCTATGCGATTTTAAAAAGCCCATAGAAACACATTAAAGCCTGTTTAAGGCGTTCCTATGGGCTTAAAACTCACCTTAAAGTGAAGATCCTCCATATGGCAGCCATTTTCGCTGCCTCTTAAGTGAGGAATCTGTCCCTACACACAGCGGGCGGCCATTTTTTTTCCCGGTGGCCATTTTGGAACCGCTGATCAGCTGTTAAAAATAATTGCTTTGCAATGATCAGTAAGCGGAACAGGGAACTGATCATCACAAGGTGAAAAACCGCATAAGAAATATCGCAATGCGATCGCTTTTGCGATCGCAAAAAGTTCATCGCTATGCAGTTTCATCGCTAAACGGAGCGCCCGTTGAGCGAGGCACCACGGTATAAACAAGAGTAGAGGGTAATAAGGAATTCTGTGTTCAGTTTTTCATTTTGTGATTATAGCAGTCACCTTATTCTAATAAATACCCTTACTTATAGGGATTATTATTTATTATTTATTTGATTTATACCCCGCCCATCTGGCCTAAAAGGGATATGTTTCTGTATAGGTAAACAAGGTCATTTAGTGTTGATCAGAAAGCAGTGGTATCAATGTAAAATCTGCTTTAATGGTTCAGCTGCATTGGTTCAGCTGCATTGAATCAGCACAGTTACATTTATAATTAAGGAGGCTGATGAAGCAAGAATACTTTAGGCCTAATATCCTGTTTTCCTGAAAATAAGACCTAACCTGAAAATAAGCCCTAATATGATTTTTCAGGATGCTCGTCATGTAAGCCCTATCCCCAAAATAAGCCCCAGAACAAACCAGAAGAAGGTTGTATTTGAACTGAAATACATGACTATATTTGGATCAATGTAGATTGTTGTACATGGAAAAAAATCCCCTCAAAAGAAGTCCTAATGCATTTTTGGAGCAAAAATTAATATAAGACCCTGTCTTATTTTTGAGGAAACGCAGTAGAGATCTAATTGTATGTTCCGAAGTGCACATTATCCCCGAACAGGTTACCTCCCTTGCACAATACAGATAAATACCACTGAAAATTAGGCATATAGCTTCTTTTCTATTCCTATACAGTATTAGCTAAGCTATCATCTTCTTGTATGGTAGATTATCGCATGCTTTTGAGGATAGGTGGCAGTTACAGAAGATTCTGATATATGAATATATGAAAGCACTCTTTTTCTTAAAAGTATTTCTTGCTTCATCTTCTTTCATCTTTTCTTGAGAGATTTAATATGTAGCGAGAGAAGAAATCAGTGACAATTGTCTTGCATATCTGGCTTATTAAGTCTGTGCTGACACAATCAGTTTATCACAGCATTGCAATCCTAGAGATGGAGAAGTGGGTCAGTGAACCTGTAAGAGTACAACTGTTTCTTTCGAGCCAAGAACTGTTGTCTTCGTATGTCAAGTGTCAGTCTTGCTGCATGCATTGAAAAGAATTTGGAGTAAAATTATAAGGGGAATAAACAGAAAGCAAAGGGGGTATGTAAAAAAAGAAGGGAGGGAAAATTATACTTGCTCTTGTGCACCTTAAATTCCTTAATTTTGACATTACTCTTGATTTTCAAGCCCTGTTGTGAGACATTTGCACTGTATAGCAGTTTCTAGCAAGGTAGTTTTGTTAGTCTGTTTCAGGATGCATAGGAGGGAAAAGTAGCAAAAGAGGTGTGGCACCTTAAAGGTTAATCAGTCTATTTAATTATATCCGAAGAAGTGGATTTTGATCCACAAAAGCTCACACTGAAGGTGCCATGACTCGTTTTTATTTTTGACATACATTTGTGCTAAGTGTGGCTCCAGAAGTTACAAAAAATATTCTAACTAGCTGACCCCAAACTCAACTATGTATAAAATTGCTTTTGTGCTGGAAACATAATTCCCTTAATGCTGTGTACTGTATCTGTACATGGGTACAACAAACCTTTGATCATTTGATGTTCTTTGTTTATGAATCTTTTAACTTCATTTGTTAAATGAAGTCCTAAGATATTTGTATTTTGTCTTCTTTTTTTACAGTTGCATGCTCATGTCTGCTTCTGAAGAGCCCAAAGTGACAGAAGAAGAAGAGCCTCCCACAGAGCAGGACAAAAGGAAAAAGATGGTATTTGTCTAACCCTTTAAATGTCCAGTGTTTCAGTTGAGCAAACAATACATCCATTTTATGTTTCTGAGTTCATTTGAGTTCTTGATACTATGTCTTGAAGGCAAGGGTGGGTCACATATTTTCCATACCACTAAAAATCAGCAGTGTAAGCCAGGTTTCAACCTTAAATGGGCCTTCATCAGGCTGGGCACCACAGATTTTGGGATGGTACAGAAGAAACATAAAAAGTTTCAGAAATACACACATTTAGTCATGGATTTTGGAACTCTTCTGTTTCTTCTGCACCACTTTCAGTTTTGTGATGTCTAGCCTGATGAAGACCTACCTATCTGGTGTCAAAAGCTAGCTTATGTTTGTGATTCTGTAGTGGCCTAACAAATGTGTGGTACAACCTTACCTTTGGGTTATGTACTGAGATGTTCAATTCTAATTGTCAACAGAAAACAATAGAATAGAGAGGCTATGTTAGGAAAGTGTGAAGGCAAGAGGAGAAGGTGACGACAGAGGATGAGATGGTTGGACAGTGTCATCGAAGCTTCCAACATGAATTTGACCCAACCCTGGGAGGCAGTGGAAGACAGGAGGGCCTGGCATGCTCTGGTCCATGGGGTCACAAAGAGTCAGACACGAATAAAAGACTAAACAACAAGAAGAAGAAGACAGGAAAGAGAGAATGCTCTTTTGATTTATTTCTTTATTTTTAGATCTCCTTAAGCTTTCTCCTGATTCTGATCAGTTTAAATGATTTTGTGTGTGATTAGAATTCAGCTTTAATTTTGTTGGCAGTCTTGGTCAAAGTTCTGGAACCTTAACACAGATCTCCTAAATAGTTAAAAATTGCCTTCACATAGACAAGAAGAACTGTCGTGTCCTGTGCAAATGTTAGATAGCTGTGTGATTTTTATCCCACTGTCTTGATCCAGAATGATGTGTTGGAATAGAACAGAATTTAGATGGGAGCATTTTGAAATCTTTGTGGATACAGTGACAGACTAGGACTTTGAAGGCCTTGGTTCAAATCCTTACTCAGCCATGGAAACTCACTGTGGGTGCATTACTGGTAAACTATTCCCTAAATATATCATTTACATTGAAAGCCCTATTATGATTGCTGCAACTCAGTTTAAACCTGATGGCACATAACAACCAGAAATACATTTACTAATTGAGAAAAAATTTAATTATTAATAGATTTGCAAATTGCTTTTTTCTGTGCTGTTTAACCTCTTGAGAATTTTCACCCTCATTGCTTTTGAGGCATTTGTAGATGAATATCAAATTCTAAAACTCCCATTGGGCAAAATCCTGTTGTGTGAAGTTTTGCTACTACTGCCTTTTCTCTTGGCATTGATTTTAATATCACAAAGCAGCATTTACATTAGAAGTAAACAGCAATGGTAGTTTCTGCCATGAAGTTGGATCATGTCTTCCCAGAGATATTTCAAATTATCAATAATCAGAGCTTCAATATGAGTCCCTTAAAATGCACTTTATGTTAAACAACAACTTATGAATTATGGCTCATCTCTAAGGTTCCTGCTTTTGGAAGGGCTCATTATCATTATTATTATCTTAGAACTGCAGAGCTGGAAGGGACCCTAGGGATCATGAAGTCCAGCTACTATCAAAGATGCACAATGAAGAATCAAACTCCCAACGTCTGACTCCACAACTAGATACAGTGGTACCTCAATTTAAGAACTTAATCTGTATTGGGACTTCATTCTTACATCGAAACGTTCTTAAGTCGAAGCACCATTTCCCATTGAAATGCATGGGAACAGGATTAATCCGTTCCAGCATTTCAAAAAAAATACCAGAATAAAAATAATCAGAGCAAGTCCCACACTGGGACTGAAAAAAAAGCACGCACACACACACACAAACCACAAAAACATAACCCCCCAGTCCAAACCCACCCATAACAGTTTTAAAAAGGACTTACCAGTCCAAAGCCTCTGGGCACTCCACTGCCTCCACCGGGGGTGAGCGGCTAAGCGTCCGGCCAGCTCAAGCCTCCGGGGGCAAGCGGACAGGGGTGAGCAGCCTAGCGCCCGGCCAGCCCAAGCGTCACGGCGCTGGGTGACCGCTGCCTCTGATCGGGCTTCTGGGCTTCTTTGCCACCGTCGGAGACCTCCCGGGGGTCTGCCGCCACCACAATCGGTGCCTTCAGGCTTTCCTGGGGAGTAGACCGGGCCTACAGGGTTTGTTTGTTTGTGGGGGTTTTGGTGATTTTTTTTTTTCTGGTTGAAACAGATTAATTGCGTTTCAGTGCATTCCTATGGGAAATGGTGCTTCAACCTACGACCATTTCGAGTTATGACCAGAGTTCCGGAACCAATTAAATCGAGGCACCACTGTATTGCTGATCTCTTTTTCTTTCTGCTGAAATAGAGTAACACCTGGTGGAGTTGTCTGTCTTCCTCTTCAGATTTTGATTGCGCAGTGTCACTATATTTGTTCAGTGGTTGATTTAATTGTTCCTGTGTCAGTAGTAAATTTAAAAACTAGAAATGGGAATCTTTGAACACAAATGGATTGCTGTATTGGGAATTGACTAAACCCATAACTCCTCAGGCATCAAATGATCTATACTAGGAACAGTCCCTAAAAATGTATACTAAAAATCAGTTAGTTTTTTTGCCACAACAGATTTATTCAGCTACTCCAAAAAAATGTTTACATATGTAGTTATGTGATATGTTTTCTGTTTGAAGCTATAAACTATTTCTTTTGTGTGTGTTTTATGCTTGTCCATTATTGAATTACACACATTTTTTATTCCTAAATGATTTGCTACTATTCTTATCCTTATCCTGTGAAAATTCAATCTGAAAACAACAACAAAGCTAGTGTTTAAAAGCAGGTGCCAGCCAGTTGTCCTGGCATTTGCAGTCAGAACATTGCAATTTGTTTTGCTGGAAATTTCCCCAGAGATTTCTCAGAACGATATATTGAAGCAGTTTAAGAACGTTGTTGTTTGATAGCTACAGGGGATTTTCTAGTAATTTCTGGAACAATGCAGGAGGTCTTTCTTTGGGTCTCATTTTCTGTAATATTTCAGTTTCACCTTTGAGGTTTTGACACTAGCACCTCTGCATAGTGTGGCAGCTTAGACATTAACAACAGAACATTTTTCATTACAAAAAAGAGGGCAGAGATTTACATTTGTATAGACATAATGAACGTTCTGTAAAAAGAAATGCAGTACATCTCACCATAGTAAGGGAATATTGACAAACTCAACTTTGTACTTGGTCAATTTGCTGACCAGCTGCTTATCTGTTGCTGACCAGCTGTGAAGACCCTTGCTCTCCACTTTTACAGTTTTTTGTATTTAAACTGGATTTGAGCTGGGCAGTCTTTCAAATAGAGGATTCTTCTCTGTGACATAGGAAAAAAAGGCTCCCACACTTCCAAGCTTACCCTTTTTAAGCATTGCTAGAAGGAATGTCATCTTTCTTGTCCAGCTCTGTGACAGTGAGACAGAATACACAGCTTCCATATGGGTGAGGGAGAAGATTATAGTGGATTAGTACCACCATCCCAAAATAAAAGCCTGTAAAAAATAGCTTGGTCTATTGCAGCCTTCCCTAGTCTAGTGCACTGAAGATGTGTTGCACTGCAACTCCCAGAATTGACTGGGAGATTGTAGGCGTTGCCATCCAACATTTTGAGAGGGCACGAGTTTGGTGAAGGCTGTACTAAGATGCCATTTAGCATTAAGAGAATAGGTGAGCTTCAGTGAACCTTGGATTTGTGTATCCCCTCTTTCCTCCTTCAGGTTTCTCTAAGGGTAGGCAAGTTTTCTTTCCACTTTAAATTAACTGAGTACAAGCTATGGTCGATCTTAACTATAGTAGTTGAACAAATATAGTTCCAGATCATTTTTATGCAGCTGGCTTGTTCCATTCTGAAGTCCGAGGCTGTAACTCCCTAGTCAGTTGTTCATCCTCATACATTTGACCTGGAAATTCTGAAACATTGCTTGGTCTAACCGTTTGTGCTAGATGGCTGATTAGATACCTAGCCTTTTGAAAAATTCCATTGAGAAAAAGCAGCTTACCATTTAGCAGCCCCAGTTAGCACTGCTAATGAATGGGCACTGAAGGTAAAGGTTAATTTCAGTTGAGGAAGTTGCAGGGTTCCTTTTTGGAGGGATTCAGTTGGCACCTTGTGTCTCATTGGTAAGCACTGCAGCAAACAAAACCTTTTTCATTCTAGCTGAAATCATAAATGGATGAGTCATAGTGGCCTGCCTTTTTCATTATTATATATTGTTCTTATCTGTCTTCTGCAGCTTGCCCTAAAGGATCCAGTACATTCTGTATCACTGCAGCAGTTTGTATATGAGAAGTTAAAGGCACAACAGGAATTGTTGGGGGAACCTGGCTTTCAGGCACTCATGGAAACTGTGGATACAGAAATAGTCACACAACTACAAGACTTCTTACAAGGATTCTGAACAAGCAGAGACAAGATTTTCTACACTTCTGTCTTCACTCTGATCTTACAAGAGCAAATTAAGTGGCTTTCCATCCAATGACAAAAACCATCTTCTTTTTAAAAAGAGCTTCTCTTGGAAATTAAGAAAGAAAAAGGCTATGGCAGTGATGTTTTTTTCTGATTAAGAAAAGATTGAAGTAATAAATAAGAGCTTTAAGACAATAATGAAATAATAAATGCAAACTTTTAAGAATAACCACCCATGCTTGATATATAGGACTGAAATGTATGTTTGGAGAACAGATTTGCAGAAAAGAAGTTCTGTAAAAGCAGATGTCCAATCTACTGTTAATGGAATGATGATGGATTTGAACTTGCAATCATGTGGTCTTATTACTTAAGGAAGAGTGTCTAGAAAGGTTTTTGTCTAAGGATACCAGCTTGCATAGGCTGCCTTATACAATTGTTTACTATTAACATTGTAATAAAATGTAAAGTTTAACAAAATTACAACAGGGGAGGATGTAAAGCATATGTGTCAAGCAATTTAAATAGTATCAATACAGTAGTATAAATAATGGAAAGGATTTTTAAAGTTTCCTCTGTGGGGAATTGAATGCTTGTCTTTTGCATGAAAAGAGAACTAATGAAATTGTCTGAGTGTTTTAAATTTACTATGTTGATCCATATAAAAGGAAAGGGTTTAATATCTTTTCTTTTGTTTTAGTTCTACAGTTTTATTTGAAATGTAGCACATAGCTCCATTGATGAATTTATTTAAGTGTGAGAGATCTAAAATAACTCTCCTAGGATGGTGAGAAGTAAAAGGTACTGTTCACCATGAGCAGGCAAAGGAATAGCTTATATATTTGCTGCTGTAGAAAACTACCCAGTAGAGGTGGCTAAGGATGATGAGTCAAAACTTACTAATTGTCTATATTTCTAGATTACTCTAGAATAGTGATTATGATGGACTCTGAATATTTGAGCATTCATCTTGGAAAATGAGCACAGGTGAAAGAAGGAGAGCTCAGAAAGCTTCTAGGTTCCCATGTTGTCATTCAAAAAACATACATACTGTTTCCCCATTCCGTCTGCCTGTTCTTGTCTCATACCTCCTATATTAAGGAGAGGCTTTTTCTTTTTTGGCAAAACTTATTTTCAATTCTCTTCTGATGTGAGAAATTAGTTTTTAGGAAACAATGACCACATACTAACAAAACGTTAGTATACCTATGCAGAAAAATCGCAATGGTATGTAACCACAGGGGGCAAAGATCTTGTAAACTACAGAATTCAAACTGTACTAGAAAATAAATTCTGATGCTTCCAAACTACAAAATAGTAAAAATTCAATTAAAATTTTCAAGGATGTTTTATGTTTGACTTATTCTGTATGTTCCTCTCAGACTGTCTTATAAGTAATCCAGAGGTAGTATTTCATTTTAATGTGCTAAGTAGTAGCTGTAAGAAATGAATTTTAAATAGCAATATTGCCATGTTGTTCTATGCTAGAATTGGGACATTAGGTTTATCTGTCAGAGATGTAGGCCAAAAATGTCATTTGATATGAAATATCCTCAGGATTAAGGTGCACTGTCAAAATATTTTACATTAGATTTAATTGAAACTTCTACATAGCTTAGGAAATTTAACACAGTACACTGTTTGACAACCTGATTGAATTAAGTTACTAAAATAAGTGTTAACATTAGAACACAGGCACATGAACGGTAAAAAAATCTAATCCCTAGATGATATTAGCCTTTAAAGCACAATTCTCAATGAATTTTTTAAAATGTCCTATTTTTCTCTAGATTCCAACTTTTCTCGTAAGATGAGGTTTACGTTTTTAATCCAAGAACAGTTTGTATGTGAAAACTACAGCCACCAGTCCCACAAATTCCAAGAACATAAGGGTGCAATCCAACTTTCTGAGGTAATGTTATTGTTACAAGTTGTCAAGTATGACAACTAGGATAGCTAATTTCTTTGTAGGAGAAAATTATGAGCCACTCGAACCAGGTATTTCTTTGAAGGACCATATTTTGCAGAATTTACCTCCCAACAGATATCAGGATAATTGATATCTCCCATTAGTGCTACAACACTAATTGAGATTGTTGGATTTTCTTTTTCCAAATATGTCCTCCATATCTTTTCCTTGATTAGACATTCGGTAGTAGAGTCCTCTTTCCCAGGTTCTTTTTGTATTTCTTCTCATTTATATTAATCCAGATGCTCTCGATGGGACAAGCTTGTTCTCCTGTACAGTATTTCTGTGCAGGAATATTTATTTTTGACATATACTGCGACTCCACCTCCCTTTTTATCCTTGCTTTTTTAACAATTTATATCCTTCACTTGCTGTATTCCAGTCATGAGAGTCAATTATCCCTATTAAGTCATATTTACACTCCTGAACTAACTTTTCCAGTTCTTCTTCTTTATGTCTTCTAACATTATGTCATACTCCTAATATGCATATATAGACACTAGAAATTGTGTGATTTGTAGTTTGCTTTTCTTTGTACATTTTATGAAGATTATTATTGGGCCACATTAGAGCTGCTCAGTCTGTTCCTTATTGTGCACAAGCCTTCATCCATCTTTACCTCTGAGCTAGTATGTCCCATACCCTTCCAATTGAGTTTAAAGCACTCTTGGTGAAGTTCTTCATGCTGTGACCAGACACATACTTCCCAGTCTTTGTGATATGTAGCCCATCACTTGCCAGCAGTTCATATTCCAGGAGGTGTAGACCATGATCCTAAAACCCAAATCCTTCGATTTGGCACCACCTTCATAGCCAGTCATTCACCTGGATTGTTTTCCTTTCCCTTTCTATTCATCTTCTGAGTATTGGTAGGATGGATGAGAAGACTATTTGAGCCCCAAAGTCCTTGAGTTTCCATCCCAGAGCTTCTTTTGGCTATGTCATTTGTTCCCACATGGATGAGAAGAAGGATATGTACATATATGAGTGGGTCTATGGTTCTTCCTTGCATATTTCAGTCCACACATTAGGGAGGCTTCTATTACAACTACTACTCTTTTTGTAGGGTGTGTGTTCAATGACTGCTTGGCTGACCTTCAGCCTCTGTCATGTCCTCCTGTGGTGTCTACTTTATGTCTTCCTCTGCATTCCCTCCACCATATTGCTTTTCAAGAATCTGAAAGTGGTTTTGCAGCTCTGCTGGTGAAGTGTATCTTCTTGCTTTGTTCCTTACTGTGACTTTTCCATGGTGCTTCCTCCACTGTTTGTTCTTTCATCAGCATTCTGCTCCATTGCTTTGTCTTGCTGTTTTCCCAATTCTAATGCCTCTCATGGCTGCTGCTGCTGCTCAAGAGTTCTATGTACATCTTTTCTTACAGCCTTAAGTGTGGCCACTCGCTGCTCCAGCTTTTTTCTCTTCCAACAGTGCTACCAGTTTGCACTTGCTGCATTTGTACACTGTGTTGTTCTCAGGTATTAAGGTAACCTGCACACATTTTGCAGGGGTTTTTTCTTTCTTCTGTTTGCTTGTGAATGACCTTTTCTTTGTCTTGTCTGCCTGGAAGGATGCTGGGAAAGTCCACTAATAGATAACTCTCTGCTTTATTTCTTTGGTCTCCCCTTTTATTTTGTCTTTTCCTCCAACAGACCTTTTTCTTACTACTACTCCCCCATCAAACTCTTGTTATCTCTTCCTGTTTGCTTGTTCGGGTTGCCTGTTCCCTGGGGTATGTCTCAGTTTAATTCCTCTGCTGAGTTCTGTTAGGAGTCAGCAAACAGACAGCTAGCCCTTTCCGTGTATCCTGATATTCATCAATTGTAGTTTGAACTGTACCTCCAAAGCAAGCATACATTAAATATTGATCTAAATATGAGGGAGAACATCAGACTTTCTAGATACTGGCTGAAATTCAGGTGTAGGTTGGAACGAGAGTAGACCCACCAAATCAGTGAGGATTTAGTGAGCTTCCATAAATTGCATTGATTCAGTGAGTCTACTCCTATTACTACATACTACTAGATTTCAGCCATTGTACTCTAGTTCCTTTCAGCCAGTATCAAGGATGATAAGGGTTGTAGTTCAAAAGCATCTGGAAGGGGCAGATTCCTTACTAATGTCTTCATCTTACAAACTAAAGTTGCTATTACACAAGTAGCCCAATCACACAATGGTCATATACTTCCCTCTCCTTTTGTCTGCATACCCTTCATAAAGGTGGGCATGCACAAAGAGATACAGTACAGGATAAATTCAACTTAACAACTTTTTTAGTTCCATTGGTGGAACCTAACCCAGTGAGATTTAAGATACTGTATTCACATGCCAGAAGATGGGAAAGGTAAGTGGTCTTATCTTCTACCACAGATTTAATTTGTATTTGATTGTTAGAATTCCTAGCTTCCTGAATTTGCATACATGGGAGTATTTAGCACCATCCCTTCCATCTTCTCTTTGTTCACATGATGATGATCTGAAGAGGAGAGGTTTTTGCATGCATGAAGAGCATACATGTGAACAGGACCCTCTTCTCAGACTCTTCCATCATATGCACAAAGTAATGATGGGCTAGAGGCTCCATTTGAGCCCTGTGTTAATGAATGTAGGAATTCCAACAATTGACCTTTTTTTGCAAATGTCAATGAAATATTTCCACTGTACAACTGCTACCTTCAACAAACAAAAAATAATTTTAATGGCGCTTCAATAGACTGGCCCAGTCTCTTATTAGCCCCTTGTATCACAGTACAATATAAAATAGAGAAATTGTGCAACTATACATGCTTTCTAAAGTATTTTTTTAACTGAGATGCATTAATCCCAAAGAGGAGCAAATCCATAGGGGATAAGATACTGCAACCAAAGTGTCACAAAGTAGTAACCACAGTGTTCCCTGCATGTTGTACAAGTATTTAAATCTGGATATGGTCACATTCGAATGATAGATATTTGATTATAAAGGGCAGGAGCTTGTTCAACAAACTGTGCTGAGCTCATCACATGTCCTTAATAGAAATTAAATTGTGCCCTTGACAGGCTTTAGCAAGGTTCAGGAGAGAGGAGCCTGTCCAAGATACCCATAATTTAAACCAGAGGTAGGATAATGTGGCTCTCCACATGCTGAACAACACCTCCCAGCAGTCCTGAGAAGGATAACCAGTGCTGAAGCATTACAGGAGCTACTGTCTGGAAACACCTGAGAAGCTACAGGGGGATAACCTTGTTTTACAGAGGAGAACACACACACAATTTAATGCAGAAGGCCTTCTGTGGCCTGCTTGCAAGAAAATGATAAGGCAACATGGGACAGTTCAGACTAAGGAAGTCTGGTTCTGTAAAGTGCCTGGATACAAGATTCTCTGCAGCCATATTTCAGCTGTTCCGTGCTCCTCAGAGGGAAAGCAGACTCATTGACCTGAGCCAGCCGAGTTGATTTCAAGTACACAAATGCTGACAACTTCTGTCCTGCACCCTGAAAAGTCCATCTACGTGAAGCAAACCATAACAGGAGGAAAATGGACAAGACCTTTCTGACACTTGTGTCCTATAAGGTAAGGTCTCGTCAAAAGGAAACAGAGTTGCGAGCAACACCAAAAACGGGTGGCTCAGGGACTGCATTGCATTATTGTAATGGGAAGCTAATGAGCCAACACACAAGTTGGATCAACTAGATAGTAAAAATATTTGATCTTCCAACAGATTGTTCTTGGGAGATTTGACTGGGGTAAGCCACGACCCTTCTCTCTCTGACTGATAATTCCTCTGGATGAAAATTGGGGAGATTACCTTCAGCTCAGGGCACAATCACAGATAAGGAAGAATAATTGTTGTTTCAACTTACATACTACCCTATAGAGCTAAAAGACTCTAGATAGTTTACGATAAACAAATTTCTTTACCATGTTCATCAGTTTTTTCCTGCAACATGCTAATCTTATAATGGTTAGATATATGTATACCTTACTATTCCTTATCCTCTTAGTCATCTTTTTGTGTCTGTTTCTTGCTCAATACCAGTTAATTAACCCTCTTTTTTCCTTGGAAATGGGAATAAAACCTTTTAATTTACAAAAATACAGGGAACATTCCCCCACCTTCAACATCTCAAATTTCTCCATTTAAAAAAAAGTTTTAGGTACATTGGACACTATATTATTTTAGAAGGAAATTGGCAAGTTCAGGGAAATGTCAATATTATGCAGATAATGCTTTGTTATGATACAGTATATCACAGAAATGAGTGCACCCCCTCACATTTCATAAATATTTTAGTGTCTCTTTTCATGTGAGAACACTGAAGAAATGACACTTGGCTACAATGTAAAACAGGAGTATACAACTTGTATAACAGTGTAAATGTGCTGTCCCCTCAACGCAACA